GATAAGTGATCTTTTATGATATATGAGCTTTGTTCTACCCTAAACATTAAATCTGTCTGACAAATGTTATCAAAAAATATTCTCTTCCATTTTATCTTAATTTCATTATCTCCTTACAGCACAGACTAATCAAAATATTCTTAAACCTTAGAAGATAAATGCTATCTGTCTGTTTTCTGTGCTTGCCATATGTGATCTATTCATCTTAGGAAATGCCCTCAACTGAGTTGTTGGTGTGAAGTTGAAAGGCAGCTGATTCTTTAAGCAGTGTGATGCTCCTGTAGGCAGCCAGCCATTACCTGGGGCGTTTCTCCTTATTCCTGCATTCTCACAGGTTACTATTTATGATACAGGCCTGCACAACTTCCCATAATGATCCATTGGTATCCTGCTTTCTTCATGCCACAGTCAAGTACAGTACTTTTGTAAGATGTGTTACCTGCTGATTATCACAATATAGACTTTGACAAAACAGGTATCTGCTGATTGTCACAACACAAAGGTCTGCTGCTGTTAAATACCACATCCTTTGGAGGAATTTCATTGCACTGCAAGAAGCTTTTAACTTCACAAAAGACTTAAATTGAAATGTGCACCTTATAGACTATCTTCTCAAACTGCTCACATTCTGAACCTTAGACGTACTCTTAGCTCCAGTTTCTTAATAGTGGAACTGTCTCCTGTATCAAGAGACCTCTAATTTTAGTGTCCTGTTTTATGATGGCCATATCCCACCCCTGAATTTACATGTATGTCACTCTCTGGTCTGTTGTCTAAGTCTTAATATTCTAGATTGGAGAATCAGAGGATGCCAGAATAAGCAACTAAATCTGTGAATTTCATAAATGAGTGAAAAAATAATTTATTAAATTATTGAACTTATTTAGTAAACTGAAAATATCTAACATGCCAATAGCAATATTTCTGTGCTATTAGCCTCAGAGTAGTTCAACTTCAAAAATAGTGACCTCTAGTCGACTAATATTAATATGGTGAATAAATATGCTACCAAGAAAATTTAATATTTTCAAGGAAGCCAAGCATCTGTATATAAACAATTTCTGCCTTTTAACAGAATGTGATTTTATGTCTGAGAAATACACAGAGGGGGGAAAAAGCTCTTGCTCTTTCTCCTTCAAAACAGACAGGAGTGTGTTTACTTTCACCAAATACCTGCATGTATAACACTCTCTCATGAGCATTGACACTGTCATGAGCATTCAGTTGCTGTAAAACTTTCTATTCTTTTCCATGAACTTCCTGCACATTCATCTTCTGTGACTGTGCCCTCAGTAAAGGAGGAAGTCCTGAAAGACTGTCAGTGTATTCAGTCATGAGCTCCCAGTAGGAAGCCAAGGCAAAGGACACAATTCTTATAAAATGGGCAAAGGTACCTACATTCCACAGTGCCAAGCAACCATCAAATCCAGAAGTTCCTAGTCCTTACCCTTGCCCTACTTCAGACATCTGGGAATCATTGAAGTCTTGCAAATAACTGAAAATATTACCTGACTGGTCACTGATCACATCTTGCTAAAGTGTGCATTTGATCTTACCCTAATTTTCTTATCCCTTTTACCCCATATTGTGAGACAGGATATTAAAATAAGTTCTTATGCTTTTGACAAAGTGTAACAACATTTGCCAGACAAAATGTCAGAATTTTCTCCTAGATGTGTTATTATTATTTCTCTAGAGCCATAAAAATTGGCATACCACAAATGTCAGTGGTGCCTTAAAGTCTGTCTTAGTGGGGGAAAGGGACTATAGCATAGTATGGTTACTTTTGGAAGGAAAAAAAATCAAACATTTTCTAAAATAATTGTTCAATAAAATTATACAAAAAAGTAATTACAGTGTAGGATATAGGTCTCTTCCTGCAATCTAGGAAGACCTTTTTGCTTATGTTTTTATCACCTGTGATTAATATACCCACATCCAGATTTTGCCAGTGAACTCTGATCCTACATCACTGTGTTATCTCTTTGTTTCTCTTTGTTTATATTATACTGCATTACCTTACAAAAAGGAAACTCAAAGTGCCATTTGAGATGTATGACAAGATTTTTAATATTTGTTTTGGCAGGTCTTAGTTCAAATACAGATTTGGTGACAATATCAAGAGTCAAACACTATCAATTTGTTGTAAAGCATGTATGCCTACATCAGAAAAATAATCAGGTAAGAATTTAATTAGGATTTAATTTAAAAGGATACTTAAATACACTGTATTTAGTTTTTAATAACTACAACAGACAAAAAAATGGAGACAAGATCTCAACATCTACAGTTAATGTGAAAAGGCATCAAGCAGAAGCAAATTCTGCCTGTTGTGCCATGACTTTAACAGAGTTAAATATGAGTGTAGAATTCTGACTACTATATCTGTACCACCTGAAAATACAGACCCACAGAGCAGTGGTGTAAGTTTACAAAGGAGGCAGACACATTGAGGAGTTCAATACAAACAGAGAGAAAAATTATCTATAGCTATGAAAGCTCCAGTCACTAAGAATAGAAACCTTTCAGCAGAACTGTTTTTGGCATTGACCAGTCATTTTTCATTTTTCAGCAGCACATCAGAACTTTCTACCATGTTTATCTCTTGCTTAAATGAACTAATAAACTCCTGTTGCAACTTTTAATACCCCTTATCAAATTGTCACTCATGACAGTGTTTGTTAACTTCCAACAAGAAAATGTTTATCTTTTTGCTACAGTCAAAGCAAGCAGTCGAACTGAAAGTTGATGTAAGGAGCAGCTGGCAAGTGGCCTGAAGTCTAGAAACTTTGCTTTACTCTTCTATTTTTTTGTTCCCATGCATTTTCTCAGCCCAATTTTTTATGTATTCCTGATGCTAAAGATGAGCAATAATTATTTACAGCCTAAAAAATATCCCAAAATCAGGTACAGCATCTTGAATTCATTATTTGTTCTTTCCAACCTTTTTACACCTGAGTGTTAAATGCATACATCAGATCAGACTGGAGCTGCAGAATCATCATACAGAACAAAAACAAAGTCCCTCTCTCCCAAACATATTTAAAACTCCATGTTTCTGCTGTAATACTGCAATAGTTTTATGCCTTAGCATAAAATAATTATTTTCAAGTGTTCTGTAGGCAGAATAGGAAAACATATCTTTCTGTACTCTGTAAAAAGATGAAAATATATGATAATGTTAATACCACCCAATATCATGCTTCATTAGAAATGTTAAGTTTTTTTGTTGCGCAATGAGATAAAACTTTCTGTATTACAGGAATTGTAATATACTCTGCGGATTTGCTGTTCCAGGATATATATAAAACATATAATACTCTGCTGGTATTAAATCCTAGTGAAATCAGTTAAAACTGCATCCTTAAAGCATGACTCTTTTGTTTGCCAGCCAGAGCTGTAGACAATTTTTCTGTTCCATTATTAACAGTGATAAAGGAAATTCTCTTTGGGAGTTGGTTGAGATGAAACTCAAGATGCAGCAGCTCACCATCTCTTGCTATCTTGTGGGTGACATCTGAGAAAAAGCCAGTGAAACGACAAAGTAACAATGGCAGAAGTGCAGTGTGCTGTGCCTGCTGAGCAGCCGCAGCTGCAGCACAAAGGACAGAGGCACAGGGCGGCCCTGCAGGAGGGACCGGCTCCCCCAGGCCCTGCCGGGTGCTGGGACAGCCTGCTGAAGGAAGGTGGCCTTTGGGACACTGCTGAAGGTGGCCTTTGGGACACTGCTCCACACTGCTGAAGGTGGCCTTTGGGACACTGCTGAAGGTGGCCTTTGGGACACTGCTCCACACTGCTGAAGGTGGCCTTTGGGACACTGCTGAAGGTGGCCTTTGGGACACTGCTGAAGGTGGCCTTTGGGACACTGCTCCACACTGCAGTGTGCTAGGACAGCCTGCTGAAGGTGGCCTTTGGGACACCGCTCCACACTGCAGGCATGGCCGGATCCTGCTTGACACGAAAATCCAGGCTTGAGCAGCCTAACTGGTGCCATTTCTCCACTCACACAGCCCCCTCCGGGATGTTTGCAAGGGCTGTTATCAGGAAATTGCAGCTGTGGCTCTGTCTTTACATTCTGGCAGGAGGAGTCACCTCTGGTTTTGGGTAGGTGTTTTGACTTCTTGGAACTCTCTGTTTATGAACTAGATAATCTGGAAAGGATGAGTTAGGAGTAGAACTGGTACAGAAAGATATGGTGTTTAAGGCCAGAGCTGACTATTCCAGATCAAAACACATTCTGGAATGAGGTGGCAGCTGTATTGCTGCCTCTGACAGGTGAAGTGCTGGCACATGCCCCTGACCTCACCTGGGTTCTGGCCAGGGCATTTGGCACCTCCCTGTCACTGGCCAGAGGGCAAATCTGGGCCTAGACCTTGAATCCAGAATCTCCTGCTGAAACCTTCACCTCCTGCTGCTCAGACTGGAACCAGAACTCTAGAGTTTTCATTTCAGATATGTTTGAAGAAGAGATTTGTTTACTTTTTTTTTTTTTATTCTAGACACACTCAGAGTCTTAAAATAATAAAATTGTGACATTCTGGTACAAGTTAGAATAAATCCATAAAATAAGATTTTATATGAATTGTCAAAATACTGAATCTAGATTATTTGAGTATGAGCCCAGATTATATCACAAAGTCCATGTTTGATTCAGACTACAGTCTGGGGATCTTGTGGGCTCACTCAGTTTTCCATATTGCCAACTGCAGTCATGGGATAATTTTGTTATGGATTAGTTCAGCACTCCAAAATCACTAGCACAGATTCCCTGGCTTCATACAGGAATGTCTTATTGCTTCCTCTGAATCAAAATGACCTGCTGCAATCTTGTTTGGTATTTACACTGTTCTCACAGCTGAGATCTCCAAAAGTCTCAAATAATAGTCATAGCAAGACTGTACATTTTGTTTTTAAAGGAATATACAAATACAATCTGACATTGGAAAAGGAAAATTTTGAAGTGGTTTTTCCTTAACAAAAATCAACCCAAGCCCCGGTAGTCAACAAAAAAGTAATTTTGATTAAGAATTCCAGTTTTTCAGTCAATTATTCACTGGGTAATCTCACCTGTTAAGTCTAACTACTGAATAAATTAATACTCTCCAAACATTGCAGATTCTATTTTAGTTTTTTAAGTATAAAATATGTCGTATCTTGATGAAAGTCTGATTATAAAATATGTGGTTCTTTTAATGATTTTATTCACACTCATTGATTCCTTGTGTTGCAGACGTGTATGTACAACAGTTTTCTTCCAGCTATAGCTGAAATTGTGTCAGCCATGGATTTCATAACTGACATTTGCACTTGTTGATAATACAATTATAAAGATCCACTTCACTCAGAATCTTGGCACTAATTACTTAAATATGGGAACAAAATTGTACACATTCAAAAGTTAAGGAAAAATAAAACTATTTACACATCTTTAAGCAGCCATAAATGGCAACAAATTAACAAAGTCTGAAACAGTTTAATATAATTGAGAAGTGTAGTAGTGGCGATTTATTCATGGAGCAATTTTTTTGTTCCTGTTAATGTCTTTTGGCCTTATAATTAAAAGAAACTAAAATCTGTCAGAAGAGGCTAAGAGAAATCTGTGCTTTGCTAATATTTAAGAAAACAGAGAAAAAATATTATCTTTTACAAATTGTTTGACACTGAGCCCTACTCACAGCCTATTTCCAATGTGCTATCAGCTGCATTGGACAGTTTTACAGATGAGTTTTGCAGTCCTTTCTCTGAAGCTATATCAGATCCAAAGATTTTTGTGACATACTGTTTCATACCAAAATTATTTAAATACTTAAACAATTTGAAGCAAGTATTTGAATTCAGAAATTTAAGTACACATCTCAAATCTTATGCTTTACTCTCATTTTATAATGCTTATTTTTCAGTGATAAAACTGTGTAAAAAAAAAAAAAAAGATAATTAAATGCCAGGTGATGCCTATTAGATGTAAAATGGACTGGAGTATCATGTTACTTATTTTGATCCTGATCCTTGAATTGAATCTCAGGATTACATGGTCTAAGCATATATTTTTCTTTAAAGTAGTGTCATATGATAAATGTATTTTTATATAGTTACAGAGCACACATTCAGAAGGAATCTAACTTTTCCTACCACCTGTATGTATATAAATAGGCGTATATGCAAGAATCAGCTGTTCAATCAACAAGTTATTCATGGAAGAAATTATATGAATGATTGCATATACTGGGAGAAAAAAATGTGGGTATCGTTGAAAGAGTACATGTAAAATAAGATTGTAACACAGGAAAAATAGATAATTAGATCAAGTTTAATGCTCAAATCTATTACAGTATTCTTTACAAAGAATTGTGACTAGCAGATCCTCCAAAAGACTTGTACAAAAATCTCCCCTCTGTTCACATTAAGTCTTCTGTATAAAGGTGATACAATTTGTAGTTCAAGGAGTGCTCCCTTCACTGGTCCTTAATACTGCAGAACTCCACAGAATATTTGCTGCTGCTTGCTGTTTTAAAAAAACATTTTCTATTAGATGCAGAGTCTTTACTAGGAGTTTCACTTGGAAATAAAAAGAATGCTGAACATACACCTTGGCCATGTTTAGAATAAAAACATGCAAAAAACCTCTATGACTACTATTAATAGTTCAATTAGTTTCATATCTTGTAACTGTAATTATAAAGGCTGGATAAGCCTCACGTCTGTGTTATACCTTCCATTTATGTCAGAAGGTGCTAGGGATCATCTTGTAATCAGTAATACAAATAGGAACACTGAAATATTGATATGAAGATTTCGAATTAATGTAGTGACTGTGTTTTCTTAAATTCTCTGTCTATATGTTAATCTGAAATGCAGTTGCATCTTGCAGTGTTTTATGTTGAAGGATATATTCCAGTGTGTTTTGACCTGTGAATACTAAATTGTTCAACACTGCTCATTCCATCCTTCTAGAAAGGAATTTTCTTGTTACTGTAGTATTTCTTTGAAATACTATTACAAAATACAGTATTTTGCTGCCCAGTACTGTATTATTGGGCAACAAAAGTTCTGAGCCTCAGTCATATCAGCAAGCCTGCTTTGTGACCTGCAGGATGTGACTTGACCTGTAAGATTTTGCTGCGTGAAAAATGACACATTTCTACAGCAGAATGAAGAAAAGCATCTCCCAGAAGATTAAACTTTTATATTAAAGTGGTATAGTGAACCCACCCACTTAGTTTCTTTCCTATGTCACTAAATATTTTGAAGGGCATTTAAAGATATTAGCAGACTCTGTCAGAGGGACCATGCAACACCATCTATAATTTCTGTTGAGTCAGTGAAGTCAAGTGTACATTTAACACAAAGCAGTGACAGGACTGTGTGTGCCCCCACACTCAGCTACTGAAATAAATGTTACCAGCACTGCATACGTCAAACTGATGATGTATTGCTCTGCAAGACCAAGACAACAACAAACCACATTTACACATGTATGTTCTGCCTTCTCCTTCCAGAACTGGAACCTGCCACCAGTGGAACCTGCCGCTCAGCAGGAATAAACTGTGCCTGGGACATCCCTGGCCATCTCTCCCTTCATGGGAAGAGCCACAGGGCGTGACTGCATTCCCAATGGACTGTGCTTTCCTCAGAAGCCTCAGCAAGAGGTACAGCCACACAAAGACCTTTTGAGTTGAATAAGCACAGAATACCTGACAACCCACAATGTCTTCTTCAGGTATAATCATAATTTTATTTTGAGACTGTATAAAAACTTGATTTTAATATTTTGGTGCATTTAAATAAATGAACTGGACAGATCTGTGCATTTGATAAATGGCCTGATATGTGTTTCCAAAAGCAGTAAATACTCTAAGTGAGGTTCACTTACAGCAGTCATTTGAGTTAGCTTGCAAAACATGTCATATTTTCAGATATGTAAATGCTAAATTCTTACATAAAAAACATGTTAGTTGTACCAAAAAAATGAAGATCTCACTCTTAAGCCAAAACAGACCCCTCATCATAATCCCATGCAGTTATCAGCATGTCCCTTGGATTTATGACTTATGACATTCATTTACCAACAGGTGGTTGCATATCTTGCCATTTATATTTTAAGCAACAGTAAACACAACTAAAAATAAGACAAACAAAATAAAACTCAGTAGTGTTTTTAAAGTGTTTTTAGAGAAAAGCTAAGTCTTCAAGTAGTTCTCACCAGGCCCAGCAATACAGAAGAATACTGCAAGAGCAATAAGGATTTTTAGGGGCATTATGATAGTGTAATGGAAACACATCTGCCCCCAAAAGTCCCTCATTTTCCCTGCGGTTAAAAGCCATGCAGGAAGTGGTGAATGCTGTGGAACATCAAGAATGAAACTATAAAGAAAAGACTTTTAAGTTAAAACAACTTTCCAACAATACCTCATGATTTCATCATTTTCTGTTAGTCCACTGGATAGTAAAACTGTAGTTTTTCAAGGATCCTCTAATTCATTAGCTCTGGATGTACAAAATGGTTCTGTCCACACAATAAAGTGAATTTTGAGGCAGCTGTCTTAGAAATACTATTCTTGGTACGCAAAATACATTTTGCATGAAGCCTGGACAATACAGGACAATTTTTATTCTTTTGGGTATCCAAAATTAAAAACAAAACAAAACAAAACAAAACAAAAACAACCAAAAGCCCAGGATAATCATCATTGACTGTTGACCTGCATTTCTCATTTTTAAGGATACTTCAGTGACAGAGCAAACATTAGTTTATAGATGAAAATGATACATAATAGAATTATAGAACATCTTTCATTTTAAAGAATTTTAAGATATTTTCCAATATTGGTAATTAAAGAACCTTGTATCCAACAGGGAGTCAGAAATAAGGGGTAACTTTCTGGAACCAACTGCCAACGTGTAGTCCTGTCAGCTACACCTCACAAAGCCAGTTACCTCAGTAATGCACGGGGCTTTATTTCTGTTGATACTATCTTTATTTACTCTGTAGGTGTTGTAAGAAAGGTCCTGAAAAAAATTCCCAAGCTGAATAAGGCCTATCCATTCACACCTGAATACAGAATCAATGCCCTTGCCCCCAAACCTTGTAAACAGGAACTATTTGGGCATTTTGCCAACAGGCAAACCCCCTGATTCTTTGTTTCTTTTCCCCATGTTTATACCTTTACCAAATTCCCTACATGCTTGCACTGTTTGACTGAGAATAGCATATGGCATTGCAGCTAGGGATTAGTGTAGTTATTAGCTGATATGCACTGTGAATTGGGCAAATGATGCTTTAAATTCATTGATTTCACCAGAAGCTCAAGCCATGTGGACTGAACCACTTTTCTGCCATGTCTTCCACTATAGGTGCAACTTCCAGGTGATAGCAGTATTTTTCCCCCTAATCTTTTAAACCCATTTACAAAAATTTTTCCTTCATAGGCTTCTAAGTACAATTTGCAAGGCAGGTAAAATTATCTTTTGAGCGATGTCTTTAGAAAATGTGCCTGGACATACTGGTTTGTGTTTGCATAGACCTTTATTGTGGCATGAGGTCCAAGTTCTCCACAGAGAAGCAGTACTGGTGTGTAACACTGCAACAGGGAGACAAGAACAAGGCACAGCTTAAAAAGCAGACCTTGGGGGTCTGTGTTCTTGCCATGGAAAAACTCTGGATAACTTCCTAGGAAAGGACAACTGATTCTGTAGCCTTTAGTAAGGCAAAATTTTAATTGTTGCAGGTTATGACATGGGGTCATTACCTCTCTGTCTCTTTTTCTGTGGCTGGATCTGAGGGGAGTCACAAAACTTTCTGTTGCAACACGGGATCAGGAGGTGTCAAAGGTTGAGGCCTTGCTTCAGAAAATACAGGCCCCAGACCATGCCACAGGACTCCGGTGGAGATCCTGATCTTTTCACTGCTTTCAATAAAATTTCAAAAGTAAACAGATTAGGCCATGTGGTAATCCTCTGCTGATTCAGTGTGTTTGTGAGCTATTTTTTTAAAGGTTTGCTTAAAAATGCAGAAAAGTAATTCTAAAACTGTATTTTTAAATTTATTCTAAATAGAAAGATAGCTAGTAGGACTTTCAATTTTGTAAATTATAAATGCAATAAATAATTGGGGTTGATATTTCTAAATTTTTTTCAATAATTAATGACATTTTTATCTGAAGAAAAATTAATTTTTATTACAAACATACCATCTACTTTTTATCTTCTGTAAATTCCTTTTTTCATATAAAATAGCAAGATAGACTGATCCCAGGTATTTAATTATTAATACTGTGGATACACAGTTCACTTCAGGAGTCTCAGCCCTGAGGCCAGCACCCCAAGCTGCACACAAACCTGCTGGGAAAACCAGTCTGAGGGAAAGAGATCAAATTTTTATAACACGGCTGTTTAGGAAATCTATCAATGTTTTGTCTAATCATCATTAATTTAAGTAACACATACAAAATGCACATACATATAAAGTTTAAAATATATGCATGATATCTATAGCGGCAGAAAAATTGTTTTACTGCACACCAGAGACAAACAGGACCTCTTTCTGTAAAATTTATTGATGGGGAAAAAATGTGAATAAAAATATTGTATGAGGAAGGCCTACAGAAGCGTAACTGTGTTCTTTAACACTGCTCATTAATCATTTAAATAGTGTATTAATCCTATAGCTAGGTTCCTGGTGCTAGAAGGAATGCAAGTGAATTTTATATATCCTCAGTAGAGAGCCAGATAGAATCTATTTTAAAAAATAATCTAAAAATAGCTGATTTACAAAGTGTGATCTTTACATTTTACTGGAAGTAGCTGTACAAAATTACGTTTTAATTTAAGAGCTTTTAAGTAACAGTTGGTATGAAGCAACTGTGGTATTTCAGCAGAACAGAGCTGATCTTTGCTGATGTTTGGATGTGTTTCTCTTTTCCCTTAAAGCGAGATCCTCACATTGATCCACTTTCTCATCTCTGATTCTCTGCTCTTACATTCTCAGAATACTAGAGGAGAGACCACAGGAATGAAACCAATCCAAATCTGACAACTAGGAAGACTGGACAAGTCTGGAATGTATTCACAAACTAAGTACTAATATACTCTAGTTAGTATAAGTCAAAAATAAAAAATTTCTACGGTTAAATTTTTAACCTAATTGGCTTAATTGAATTTAACCTTTCATAAATGCTGCTTCTGAACAGTATTATTTTCATGGAAAATATTAGCTAAAAAGGATATTGGCACCACAGTTCTGACCTAAGATCCTCCAAATCAGATTTCAGTCTTCAACAAGTGAGAAATTTGTTGCACTGAGGTTTGGATACATCCTATTTCACTTTTTCTGCAATTATATTGATATAAAATGTAAAATGTGAGAATTCTGGAGAAAAATTTGATAACTCATCCTGATATTCATTTACAAAAACATACAGATCCTGCATATAGTCATCAGATAAATTACATGCCAACAACTTTGCTTTAACAGTGTGTCACTGTCTCACTTCAGCTGAATTTCCAGGCCTTTTTGAAATACTCAAATTGATTTAGTCTGTATAGGTCAACTCTTAAAATTAACCTGACTGCAGTGACAATGTGATCACAATGTGAATGTCTGGATGTTTACGTGTAGCTTAAGCTGGCATTAAATGTCAAAAATATCACAGACACATTTACACCAGCTGAGCTCCTGCATGTATGTTGTATGAATATGCTGTATATGTGAAACATTGTATAAATTACAAGTTGTATCATGTGTTCATTCAGTGGTAAATATCTGTGCAGTGTATTTGCAACCATGAGAAAGTTCAGTACCTCTACCAGTGTTTTCAACACTTTCTAGAATCCCATGAGGAAAGTACAGTTATGTAAATTTTAAGTAAAAATAATACTTCAATTCTTTAGGATATTGATACCAAAATTCAAATAGTAGCATGAACTTAAACAGCTCTCTCTAGCAAGCTCAGGTTTACACTGCCTTACAATAATATATTCTACAACTTATACCAGTACAAAAATTAGCAATCTTTAAATTGACTCATAAAGACCATAAACATATAGACACACATAGACACACAGAAAGGAATGTTCAAATGTTCAAGAGATACTTTGCAACGGAATACTTTGTTGGGGATAAAAAAAAAAAAAGAGGTAGGGATTGACAATACAAATGCTACCAGTGTTTAAAAGATTTTTTCAAGGTATAAACTGCCTCTCCTTTTTAGGGACCATCTTTTCTCCCAATTCACCTGTATTGCATGACCATCCTTTGAAAGGTGACTTTTTCTTCAGCTTTTTCTGGCTTTTTAAGAGAAAACCACCACCAACAGTTAGAAAAGTTTTATGTTTAGGTTTCAGATTTATTTTATTTTCTATCCACTTTTTTATTGCTGAAGACAACATTAAAGATAGAACATTATTATTTATTTAAAGTGTATAATAGCCCTTTACTAAGTGCAGCAGTAGTTTACTACTAACTTTACTGTCCATTGTAAGAGCCATAATGTGCTGTTTTCTTTTGCAGAACAAAGTGACCACCAAAAGCGGGACTTTGTGGGCCAGTTGGATAAAACATAAGCTCATCTCGCCCCCAAAACCCCGACTCTGGAACCACAGCCTTCCAAGATTCAATTTGTAAGTAAAATATCTTTGTAAGATATGCCAAATCAACAGAGTCATTGCTTATAGAGTGGGTAATTTTCAGACTAATCAAAAGAGAACATTATAGCCCAGTTGCAATACACCCTCCTTCACTTTCTTGACAGCAGGAATTCCTAACAGATACTAATTGATTTTATTAATATTTTATGAACTATTTATCAAGCAGGTAAGAAGCACCTTTTCTAAGTGTCTATAAAATGACACAGAATAACAGTAATAAGACCCAGCACTCAAAATATCTATTAAGATTTCTTCTCAAAGTATGTAACAAGTTATTATTTATCTGTTTCACTGTATTTCAGACTAAAGTTGACACATTATAGAGAAATACCTGTCATTTTTCTAAATTTGTTATTAGTACAATAAACTAGAAATTATTTTCACTTTACTCGAAAACAAGTCTCTTCCTACTAACAATGATAGTCTCAAGTATTCTGCTCTACCCCATCATCTTACTACCCTCAATATCATGTTTCATAAAATCTTCTTTCAAAGATGAGAGAAAAAGTAGAAATTCACAGACAAAAGGAACATATATTCTAAATCTTCACTTTATAATTCCAACACAGCTTCTATATAAAATCCATGTTTAAAAGCATTATAGCTTACACTTGGATGGCTGAAGTAGGTTAATGTTGCCAATTACTTGAAAATAAACTAATTACTGTCCTTGAAAAGCCACTATTACATTCATTCTGCTTTTGATAATCAAAATGCAGAGCCGAAGAATGCTGTTCTAGCTGAACTGCTTTATAATCACCAAATACATCCTGAAAGGAAAACGAAGAGAAGTTGATGGAAATTCTGGCTAAGTATAAATGTTTAAATAATTCCTCTTTCTACAGACCATACATTTTAACTGACTTATTTACGGCTGTGATGATTTAGGAGGCTTTTCTGGCTTTCACACGAGCCGATCAGACGGTGCGTATCGACACCCCTCCGCACGCGCATTGGTAGTTATTTGTGCCTGGCCAAAGTCGCCGCAGAAGGCGCGCGGAGGCAGCGGGACGGTACCGGTGGCTGGACACCGCGGGGAGCGGTGCCCGTGGGGAGCGGACACCTGTAGCTCCCGAGGGTGCCGGCGCGGCGGCCAACCGCCCGTTCCCCGCGGGGCGCGCCCCGTCCGCGGCCTGCGGCAGGTGGGCGCGGGGCCGCGCCGGGAGCTGCCCGGGGCCGCGCTCCCGGCCGTGCGCGGCCCCGCGGCGCCGCCGCTCCCGGGGCGCCTTTCCGCCGCCGCGCTGCCGCGGAGCCGCCGCGGAGCCGCCCCATCCCCGCGCCGGGCGCGGCCCCGGCTGCCCGCGAAAGGGGGCGCGGGGCGGCGGCCGCACCTGCGGCCTCGGCGGGGACGCGGCCGCGGCGCTCCCCGCGGGCTGGCGGGCGGCGCGGAGCGGGGGCGCGGAGGGAGAGCGCAACTCACCACTTGTCAGTGCCCGCGGCGGTGCCCCGGCGAGCCGGGAACGGGAATGGGAACGGGAATGGATCCCGCGCGCAGGGAGCCGCTCACCGGGCAGGTCCCCGTTCTTGAAAGGAGACAACCTCCGGTCCTCGCTCCGAGCCGGCTCCTTCCGTTGGCAAAATCCTGACTCATTACATAAAAAGATCACCCTGCCAGGCGCCCTGAAACATTTCTTCATCACGGTCACGCCACAAGCTAAACAAGAGGCCACATCTAGGGGAGGGGGAGAGGGGGGAAGCGGAGAGGAAAAAAAAAAAAAAATCCAGGGTTTTTTTTTCTTTCATTAAGATCCTCTTCCTTGAAAAAAGCGGGTGGGGGAAAAAAAGTGCAGAGAGGAAAAAAAAAAAAAAACAAACCAAAAAACAAAGAGCAGCCGCCAGGAAAAAAAAAAAAAAAAAACCAACAAAAAAGCCTAGAGAAGATTCACTCATTGTTGCCACAAAGACACCTCTCCCCTTCCCACTCCTTCTCCATGCTCATTCCTCCAACAGTGCTACAAAGACGTGCAGTCTGCGCCGGGAGTTGTGAGCCCGAGCCGTGAGCTCCTCAACTCCGCGGGGGCCGTGCCAGGAGACCCGGGGCGCACAGTCCTCTGCGAGGAGGTGTGGTGAGTCCAAGACCGTCCGAAAATTATTTTTTTTCCTAGAAACTACCACCAAATATAGTAACAGGGAAGGGGTATTCCTAGAAATTCGGGAGACGTCAGAAAGGGAAGATTTGTGAAATTCAGCTTCACTTCCTGCAGAGGGCTCCTAGCACAGGGATAAAAAAAAAAAAAAGGCAATAAAGTGCTTTTCATGCTTCTCTGATCAGATAATGGTTAAAAAAAAAAGAACGGTAAAACACTTAACTCACATTTCTCCGATACAATCTAGTCGTTTTATATGGGAAGAATGCTAATCAATAACCTCCTTTCCTCGTTTTCTAATAATGTTTACTATATGTCTATCTCCTGTATTTATTTTTTCCACATCCTCCTATCAGACCTATGCACACAGCAAATAAAAGGAATGTGCATATGAGTGAAAAATGGGCCAAAAGATAACCCTCCCACATATCACAGAAACACTGAGTGTTTGTGTGTTATTTTAAACAGGCTTTGCCGTTTGCATCTTTCATGCTACACTGATGTGAATAATTCATGTCCCCACTGTAGATGTGTGCAATATTGTTACTCACATGAATTGGAATGTGTAGGTTGGCTTTTATTTAAGGGCTTTAACACTGAGTTCTGCTGAGCACTGTCAGTCCCCATGGACTTAATGGTATCTTAGGCTCTTAATTAATTCAGTTCAGCAATTCACAGGATCAGGCCCTGACCGACTAATGGAGACCCGCACGCTGTCAGGAGCCACATTATTCCTCATGTGTCTCCTAAATCTCTGTTTGCTTTGTGCTAGTGTCTAACACCTAATCCATCCTGACTCATATCTTCTTTAAAAACACTATTTGATATGTTTCATAGGAAGCAGAATTGAATGTTTGCAAAGCAGAGACAAATGAAGATGTTATTATAATCTTAACTATATAAAGATGTCAGTGCATTTGTAATAAAGCATTATTTATCCAGGAATAGCAAAGGTTGCTATAAAAAACACAAAGCTAGCTTTTGGGGGAAGATAATAGATTTCAATGTGTGCAACTCTGGCAGGTTAATTGGATTTCCTTAATGAAATTCCCCTCAGCCACATGAAATCCTTGGGTTTGTTCTTTGAATTTCATTACGACTTGCAGAGTCTTCTCTGCCCCAAAATCAAATGCAATAAAAACACTGGAGTTGGCTTCACTTCAGTGTTTTAGGAACACTCACATTTAATCAAAACTTGGTTACAGACACCTTGTCTGTCTGCAGCTTTGAAGGGGAATTAGCTGAGTTCACCTGACACTCCTGAGTGTGCTTTAACTCCTAAGTGTGCTTTATCTGTTACTGCAGTGCTCAGTAAACAATTGCCTCAAAATACAGACCCAGGTTTCACCGACATGCGCCCACAGTGTTTCGTCAGCAATAATGCCTGGTTAGAAGTAGATTTACTTTAAGTAATCTCCTGGAATTCAAAACAGCTCTAGTTAATTGCAAAAAGGCCTTTTTAATCTGGCTGGCTTACTTACGGCACACTACTCCACTCTGCCTGTCACTCTCATTTCCTGAGTGAAAAAGTGAATGGCAGTTTCAAGCTCAGGATCTTTTTCATTAAAAGAAATGGATGTGCTGTCCTCTGTTGGTCATACTGGTTGTCACAAGTAAAATTAAATTTAAAAGGCAGCAAGAGGCTGTTACAGCGACAAAGAAAGAAAAAAAGAATATGAAACTAAATTAAATTTTCTTCACCTTCTGCATTCACCAATGACACTGCACAGTGTAAGGGATTTATTTTTTTAATTATGCAGTGATAGAAACTGGATTATGGAGAGGACTCATTTCACATGACTGTAGTACAAATTCTACCCTGGCATTCCCCAGCCCCGAGTTGTTGGTTCACCCTCTGTGCCCGGCGTGTGGGTGCCACAGTGAGCTGCAGGTGCCCTTGGGAGCCAGGGCAGCAGGGGTGTGCAGTGGTGGCAAGTGTGTGGCCAGAGAGGAAGTTTGGGGTTTAAATTTCATATTCCCCAGTCTGGTCTGGGGACGGGGCCTTGTGTGCCAGCCAGTGCTCAGTGCGGTGACCCGTGTGCTGTGGTGCCATGGCAGCTGGGCAGCCCCTCTGGGCACGGTGGTGATGGCAGCCCAGCCTTTGCCAGGGTGTGGGATGCACATTCCCGGGCTGTGGGATGCACATTCCCGGGGTGTGGGATGCACATTCCCGCTCGGCCTCTGCCGGGGTCCCTGTGAGCCCTGCTGGGTGAAAATGCCCTCTCTGAGTGCTAATGCTGAGCCTTGCTGGCTGCTCAGGTCAGCAATAATATGTAGCATCCGGAGAGGATTGGAGAGATTGAAGTGAGGATGATTAGAGGTGTAGAAAAACTGGCCTAAACTGAGAGATTTTAAAATTTGGGCATTGTGTTGTCTAAAGAGAAGTTGAAGGCAAATAGAGCAACACTGAAAAAAGGTTTAACATCAAGTAAATGAATTCATTGTGGCAACACAGCTGTATGATATGTTAATTATTTCTACTTCTTAACTGCTGCTAGAGTTATATTTCTGGGCCACACAAGTTTCTCCTAGGCTGTGAGTGCACAGATAGTTTTCTAATTACAAAATTAATTTCAGATAGATAACCACAAGACATGTCTTAAAATGTTACTTAGCAACATTGTTATCATGCTAATAGTTTAGCAATATTACTCAACAAAATGTAAGTTCTGTCTGCAAACTGTGGAAAAAACAGGCTCTGTGTTATCTGAGTTCTGTGTCATTTAACACAGGCCTCAAACCATCGTTAAGAGGGTCAGACACAGCCGCAGCTCTTATGCATACCTGGTTTTGTCCTAGAAATATATTATTTCCAAAAAACAAGCACAAATATATGAAAGCTTTAATCATCAGTGGCAAGGTGGCTCATCCCCACCCTCCCCAAGAGGCTTATCCCTGAGACTGTAGTAAACGGAAAGCAGTATTTATCAGATATATGTTTTGTCCTTGAGTTTGATTTTTGCATTTCGTTTTTACAACTCTCCTATGAAAGTAGTTTCAGGGACATGGATGTAGCTCACTGTCCTTTGTAGCCATAAGTAAAAATATCTAAGAATATTTACAAAATCCAGTATAAATAGTTAAGGACATTTATTTCTGTTCATACAACAGTATGTACAGTTTATATTCCTGACAACAGTGGTGTAGAATATGAGAGGAAGATTTGTCAGGCAGAGAACAAAATTGATTGTGTGGACACAGTGGTCAGTAAAATTTCAAATGGTAAGTAAATATCAAACATGAATCAATAAAGATTTCCTTCAACTAGTAATTCTTTTCCTGTACATACTGTTAGGATGCGTTTAAGTGCTGTCAACCCTTTAACTGTGTGGGCAGGTTTGGTGCCTCATTTGGTCAGTGTCACTGGGTTGGACCTCCTGGCCACTTGTGGTCCTGCTGGATCATCTGTGTCCAAAGCACCCAATGTTTGTTTCACTCGGAGAAGGGGAGCACTGCTGGGCTCCTGTGACCGGAACCACTGCACCCTCTCCTTACGCATTTTCAGTGTCACAGGGAGTTTTTTCCCATTAGAAAATGTAAAGTACACACTAATCAGATTGCAAACAATCCTTCTAAGTGGCTAGTGATACACATGAAGAAACCTCATGGTTTACTAATCAGAAGACAGAACCAAATTAATTAATATTTAATTACATGGTGGCAGGGTGGGGGTGAACCAATGAGAAGGACATGGGGGATTACAGGATAGCTGCAGCCTCTGGAGAAGGCTCTCTTCAAACAAGGAGCTGGAGGATCTCTTCAAACAAGACCCTGCAGAGGCTCCACTTTTCCTCCCAGGAATGTCTGGGAGGAACAATAAGGTAGGCACCAGCACTTGTCTCAAGAGTGCTGTGTAGAAAAGGCGTTTGACGTGACTTCCACTCAGCCTCAGCAGTCACCTTGGCCTTTCACATTTCAAACTATTTTTTGTTTCTTCAGGCTGAGCTCAGGGTCTCTTGAAAACAGGATTAGGCTCCAAGAAAAAACGAAGAAAAACTGTTCTCTTCCTGCAGATGTGAGGAAGGCAGTCAGGCAGCCGCTGAGGCACGGACAGGAACGACCGAGGTGGATGGCACGACATTGACCAGAACCCTTTGCTGGGAGACCCGTGGTTCGGTACCTGCGCTCGCGGGGAGCGGCTCTAGTGCTGCGGGGCGCGCTCCGCGGCCGGAGCTCTGCAGAGCCGCCGTGCCCGGTGTGGGCGGGTCCGGCTCGGGCCGGACGCTCCGCGGAGGGTCCCGGTGCGGCCGCTGGGCCGGGGCTCCGCCGTCCCCGAAAAAGGAGCGGAGAGAACAGCTCCCGCCTGCGCAGACCCGCCAAGGCACGGACGGGGTTCGAACCCGTGATCTTCGGTTTACGAGACCGACGCCTTACCACTTGGCCACCGCGCCTGCGTTAAGGTCTCCTCCTGACGCCCTTCTATCGCTGGCGCCACGCCCGCGCGCCCGCCCACGGCCCGCCCTCGCGCGCCCGCGCTGCCATCTGCTGGGGGCGCGCGGCCCTGAGGCGCTGAGGGCGCGGCGGCGGCTGAGGGGGAGCACCAGGAGGGAGGGATGGGCCGGGTCTGCCGCCCCTCCCCGTCTCGTTCCGGCTCTCGCTCTCGGTCTCGGTCTCCCTTCTTCTTCGTCTCCCCCTGTCTCCCGCTGTCTCCCGCTCTTGGAGCTGCCAGGAGCCTCCCCTCAGGCTGTGGAGGCGTTCGGAGGGCAGCGCCCTGTGCAGCGCGGCCCCGGGGCTGTGAGGGGAACGGCACTCCAGAGGCTGCTTCGCACCGGCCAGCGCGGCTTGGAGAGGGAGAAAAGAGCGGGATTAAATTTTTCCTCCACCAAGAAGAGAAACAGGAATGCAAAACGTTGGAATAACAAAATGGTAAATACTAAATTAAACACACTTGCTGCCTGGTAGCTGTTCCCTCAAAAAACTCATTGTTGTGAATTGCAGAAAAGATACTTACTAGATATTTTCTAGACGGGATCGTCTAGATTTTTACAAGTGTGACCTGAAAACAAAAGTTTTAGTTTTCATTTAATGTTCGTTGTGGAGGTCTGTTTAAATTCTCCATGAAACTGTTGCTTGATATCCAAGTTTTATATTCCTTTTGGTGTAGTTTTGGTTTCCTTGTGGAAGAAGCATGTGAACATACTACAGAGGTGCCATTGTAAAGGTTTAGATCAGAGTAGTGATTTGGTAGTGCCATAATGCAGGTGCATTACAAGGTTGATATAGAGCCAAAATAATTTGGCTTGGAAGAGACTTTCAAAGGTCCTCTAGTTGAACCACCCTGCAGTGAGCAGGGAAATACTTATGTAGCCTTTGGGGATGTTCTTTGAACTCTCATAATGGAAAGTCATGCTTGATACCTTGACTGTATGAAAATATTTTAGTTCTTTAAAACTTACCATTTTAGTTTGTCTGTGATAACTCTATGCCTGCCTGTACTTAGAGTGGTTTGAATTAGCTTGCCCTGCAGTGAAAAGAGTTTAATTTAAATTACCTTACTGGATAGTCAGCCTTTTTAAAGTGTGTTTGCTGTTACCTTGGATAAACTGCCCCAAAAGTGACCTGGTTTTCCAGTCCCTATGGGCATAACTGATGGCCTGGCCAATCCAAAAGCTTGCTGGAATTTAGCTGCTAGTCTTGTGCATCACATGCCCTCATCTGGACTATGGAAAGCTGGGAAATGAGAATAGCACGGTTGTATTCTGCTTTTGTCTTGTCAGTGTAATCACTGCAGCATCTCGAAGTGTGATGGTGTGTAGGAGTGGAAGCTTCCTCCCTCAACTCTCACCCCTGTAATGTTTATGAACAGGGTGGCCTCAGAGAGCCACTTACCTCCCCTGGCTGAAGGAGTTACTCTTAGTATTATCAAGCTGACAGCAGAAAGGAGTTCAGTTTTAATCATTCATGTTTGACTGATGATATGCCATTTCTGGCCTAATTGCTTATTACAAAATACATTATGTGCCATACTTGCCAGTTGTAACTTGTCATCACAGTTCCTGTGTTTATGAATGGTTTTGGATCCTTGTGAGCTGAGAGGTAATTCTGTGGTGAATGCAAGGACTGTTTGAATTGTTGGTGGAACTCATGTGGGTTTTATGTCTTCAAATACACTGCGTTTTATTAAATGTATTCGCTTGGCGTCGGGAATAGTATTTAATGGTAAATCAACTTCTGTTCATCAAGTTCTTCCTTAACTATATGGAGAGATGGAATCTTCAATTTTAATTCATAAAGATCTTCTAACTAAATTAATAGGAAATGCTTGATAAGGTTTAAAAAATTTGTCTACTCTCTGAGCCTAACTTCCTTAGTGTGTCTGGAGAAACTTTCTGTCTAAACAAAGTGCTGTTTATTGGTGTGCTGATTTATCACAATAGCTTTTATAATTAAAAAAGTTACCTGGATTTTAAAAAACTGTAATTGCTCTTTCAGTGTCTGGATCCTTTTGTTTGGAAGTGTCTTTTATGCTGGTCCTTACCCTTGTTTGAGCTGGGTGTTAAAGCCCTTCCTCCATGCTGAACCCTCCTTGTGCATTAAGGGCTGTTCTCTTCTGACACAAGCTTCTTTTAAACACAACATGGCTTTTCAAAAGGGAAGTCTTAGAGGACTCTATTGCTGAAAAGACACTGGCAGAGATTTTGTTGGATGGAGGAATAATCACCTGTTGTTTTTTTTTTTCTTTCTTTCTTTCTTTCCTTAGCCTCCATATGAGATGGAGGTGTTGCTTTAGGAGAGGCTTTGATGTTGTTTCATGTGCAAAACAAGGCCTTTCAACGCATTCCCTGACTCTTCGGAGATACAGGGGAGCAATCCTATTTATGTAGACTTGGTGCAATTGAGCTTTATATAGACTTGTTATGGGATGCTGAGGAGCTGGAATACTCCTCAGTGAGTTACTCGAGCTTTGACTTTGTCTTAGCTGTATGAAAGAATGTTTCTGTTCACTATTTTAGTTTCTAATCCATAGCACTTGTCTTGGAAGGGGTTCAAGAATGATGCAGTAGATGGCAGAATGGCCCTGCAGTCCTTTTTCCGCACAGAAGACTGGAGACTCACAGGTAATTTTTTTACATGAAGGCAAGTATTTATCTTAGAGTTTCTAATTTCTTTTATGGATAAACAACTTGAAGAAAAAAACCCCAAGCCCTGGCTGTTGGCTCTCAGAAGCCTTAATTTGTTACTTTGATTTTGTGTTAGGAATGTCTTGGTAAAGTAGCAGACTATACTTTGAGGTGTGGGGAAATCCGTGTGACTTCTTTGCCATCAAAGAAACATCTCCTACTTGAGACATTACAAATACTCTAAGAAATATGTCCCTCTAGCAACATCTGCACTATAAACAACAAGCCAATAGGCAGGAGCAAATGGCATTGAATGTGGTACACAGTAAAGACAATGTACTGATGGCCATCTGTAGAGCATGTTTGAATAAATTGAGTTTTTATTGAAAATCAAGGTTTAGCCTGTGGAAAAAGTTCAGCATAATCTCAAGTTTTATCAAGCCTTATTTTGGGTTTACATCAAACAGTAATATGAAAACAGTGTGTGAAAGGTTATGTGTTTGTATTTTGTATTTTGTCACTGTAAAACAATCAAACTCTCAGCTGACACCAAAACAAGTCCTTTATCTCTGTTATACTCCAGCTGTAATTTCTTAATTGCACAAATACATGGCCAAAAAGTGCTGCACTTGTTTTGCAATATTTGTCTTTGGTGTGTGATATCAAAGGTAGGTTTGTGGCACATACAGCCTACAAACTTTTACAATGGTTAAAGTTCACAGAGAAAAGGTATTATATGAAATTTACAGTGTTTATTAGTGATTTTTAATTGTTTCAGTTTTACTCAATTACTATTTTCTACTTTATGGAGTTTTTAATATTTCAGCAAATATTAAAATTTCTGATGTCATGAGTGTAGAACAGACTTTCATGAGGAAAGGGTGGGTGATTAGTACAGGACTGCCTTCACAAGGGGAAGTGTTATACTGTGTATTTAAATGAAACAGCTTCATCTTTAAAACAAGCTTGTACAAACAGCTCATTGCTCATTCTTGTGAAAAAATGCACTCAGGTATCCTAGAAGCTGAGCAGAATGCAAATCAAAAATACAAAATCTCACAACCCAACATATCTTGAAAACCTTGAAAGAATTTGGGAAAGTCGTGTATTAAAGTGCATTACAAGAGGTTTGTAGTGAGAGGACAAAGGGGAACGGATTCAAACTGAGAGAGAGAAGGTCTGGATTGGGGATTAGGAGGAAGTTCTTTACTGTGAGGGTGCTGAGACACTGGGGTGAGTCACCCAGAGACGCGGTGGCTGCCCCATCCCTGGCAGTGTCCAAGGCCAGGTTCAATGGGGCTTGAAGCAACCTGGGACAGTGGAAGGTGTCCTTGCCCAGGACAGGGAACAAGATGAACCTCAAGGTCCATTGTAACCCAGGCCATTCTATGAGTAAATGATGCTATATTAAAAAAATGCTAAGAAAAATGGAAATCCAAACCTAAATTTCAAGGGTTCGGGAAGTCTGTTCTTAAAGATTTTGGCTCTGATTTTAAAGACAAACCATAATTCTTTTGGGGTTTGTCTAAGTGCAGATTAATTCTTACTCCTTTTTGTGAGAAAGGTACTTAGAACATAGGCCAAATGTATCAGACTCAAATGTCAGAATGATATTTTTCATTTTAAGTAGTAACCATGGACAAATGAACACAGTTTTCCTTTTTTATTTGAGACACTTAGCAAAAATGCTGAAATATCAAACATTTCCTCAGTAGCTACAATATTGCCACTATGTACAAAATATTTGATAAATGTAGTACACATATAAAAATACAGTATGCATTACATATATACAGTACAATGTGCAAAACATATGGCATTCAAACATATGGAATTGATTTTAGGGGTGCAAACAGCAAATACAAAGGCATCATGGTTCTAGAAAGGCAATACATAAACTGACGCCCTGATTGCCATAATTTGCATTTAGTAAAGTAGTGCTTAAATGAAGAGGGCCCCTTAGACAGGTGTTTATCTTCTTCTTTTCACAAAATGAGATGCTAAGACATAATTATGACTATGAAAAGAAGAAGAGAAACATCTACTAGGGTTAGCGTTATTTCTACTGCAAGCAGTACTGTGAAGAAAATCCTATCTGGAAAAAAAAGCCTGTGCTATTAGTTACTACAAATTTCTCAAACAACAAAAACAAATCTGTACTGTTAAACATCAAAAACAGCTTTGAAAATATCTACATCCTTAATTTTAAAAAAGTATGGATAACACTTTTGGGGACTTAAATTTCCTATGTTTTAAAATACAAAGTGCCTCCTTTGGCAATATAAATGGCAATGCTTTGGTTCCTATTTAAATGTTTATAGTATTATAATTTATTTTAGGCTGTTTTTTGAATATCTGAGCTGTATAATTTTATAAAAATAGTGTGATTCTATAGTTATTAACCATTCCCTGCTTTTTTTTTTTTTTTTTTTTTTTGAGAATTTGCTCTCATAGCTAGAATGGCTTTTTTTGGCTAGATTTCTACAAATACATCTATGCACTTTTAACTTAAAAACACTTTATATTCAGTACTGGACACTACAGAATGATGTAGGTGTCTCTTTTTTGCACTTTATTCCTAGCAAACTGGTATAAAAGGAGTATTTGAGATTGTTTCAGATTTTAATGTATGCTCTTTATTGGCCATGTATATAACTATATGTAACTCAATTCCACGATCTCACACGAAATACCTTCTGGGCTATGGTCTAGAAGTCACTGAAAGGTGATTTCACAGACCACAATACAAAGAGTTTCAACAGAACATTTACTAGAGATAAGTGGAAGATTTTTTTCCAGTTTTAACAGAGTTTGCTTGAAATTTATAATACACTTAAGATGCCATCCAAATAATAACTGTTTACATCGGTGAATTTTCCTGTGTTTTGATTACATAATGCCCTTCCAGTTCAATGTATCCTGTAATTGCAGTTTCTCTGCCTTGAATATAATTCAGCAGCTTGTGCTTGTGTTCTCATTACAGTACCTACATGTTTGAGGCACCTGAATATTTGAGATTATGTAACAGAAAGGTTTGACACTTCTGTTTGGATCACCATCTTCTCTGAACATGACTCTTGTTGGTGAATTTAGAAATAACTGGGAAATAAATGTATTAAGTAGTAATCATTTCTAAAAGCTGTAGCCTCAAAGTTCTGATTCTGCAGATCTGCAAGCCCACAATACTGGGTTATACTTTAAATTTCTGTAGAAAACAACTGCCATAAATTAATGTTATTGTCAGAGAGAGTATGACAATGCTCTTTTAACTATTTCTAATGTTAAAAAAAAATTTTGCCTGTATACTTCCTTGCTGTAACTGATGCTGAATGGCATGCAAAGTGTGCAGCAAATTCCATTTCTCTACTGAACACAGGATGTGACTCCTCTTGAGTAACATGAGCCTAGTAAAACATTGTCTGAGCTCTCTCTGTCTAGATGAGAAAACAACCAATTTTTGATTTTCATACTGATTAAAAGGTATTCTTAATTACTTTGAAGGACCCACTAACACCACATTTGATAGGATGCATTCTGTTAGTATACTGCAGCCATTAAATGGCAAATTTAGTGCCAGTGCATTCCTTTGCAACTGTTCTCTTAATGAGAAAGATTCAGTTCTGTGCAGTCAAACTGCACAGTCATGATTAATTTCTAAGATGTATTTGTGCTACAAAAATTTTCATGTAAAACATGCACACACAAAAGTCTAAGCAAAACCTATTTCTGCCATAAACAGGCACATACAACTATGGCAAACATATCACATTTCAGAACAAAGTCTAAAGCAAACCATTTTATATAAGGTTTAATACACAATTCTGAAATGTACAGAAAAGTAATCACACATTCCCTACACTAGAATATTTGTACTTCAGAAACTAAAATGATCCCTTAATTTTTTTTTTTCAAATAGACATTCAGAGCAGAAAGCTATACCGCACTGATAACAAGACATCTCAACTGTTTGGATTTATTTTTGCTGTATTTACATGCACATCAAAAATGACAGTACAGTTGCTCTAGGTTAATTTGTCCTCTAAAAATTAATTTACTTGCCTCTTATTTAATCAGGAGGCAGGGTCAAAAAGGGATAACTCTAACCACACATATATTGTATGATGTCTGGTGTATCACACATAATAAACTGACAGTACTGCAGAACACTAAATTTCATTCAGAGTTGTTCCTATCAGACCAAGAGTCCTTAATTCTTATTCTTGTAACAGCCGAGGGCACTTTGTATCTCAGAGTATCAGCTCCCAAGATAGGATGATGAACAGGAATGCAAAAAGTTGAATGTTAAGTGTTCACTCTTATTGAAAAGTCCTATACCATCAAAGCTTAAGGCAGACAGTCCACATGTAATATTGTACTTAAGTATTGTAGGCACAGCAAAAAAGAGTAAGGAATTATGTCTTTCAACTGCGTGTAGTGAAAATCTCCAAAGATTGTTTTCTTGTACTTAGTTTCATATTACAGTAATTCTTGGCCAGTAAAACCATACATAATGATTTAAAGTGCTGTAATTGATATGATGCAAACATATGGTATCAGTTCAAACCCTGAATCAATGATGTAATACATTATTTTATCTGAAGCCAATGGAATTCTGTCATATCAGTAAACCAGACTGCATTATATCTTGAGACACAAATTTTCAGTTGATTCCATAACATTTTCTGACAAAAGTATTTGTTTGATGTTAACATGATTGTGTTTTGGTTTTCGTTTTGAAAAATGTGATGAAGGTTGCTAAATGGATAACAGCTACTTACTGTTTTCAGTATTTCTTTGATACATATCATGATTCTAAGAAGTAGGCAAAAGCTTCGGGGCATTTTTTCATTCAATCCTACAGAACTTTATTTTTGAAGCTTATGGGTGAGGAAAGAACCATGCAATGAGATCAGTTTTCAGACTAGAAAACATACAATGTTTCCCCATTTCAGGAAACAGGGAGTGTTTCATTTTATCTTAATTTAGGAATTCCCTAATAGGAAGTTCCAATTTTGTGTTTGATTATCAGCCTCCATCATCTATGGCAACATTTAATGGCTATTACCTGAGAGACAACCATAGAATGTCAAAGTATATTAGTTCTACTTGAATTTTTTGTTTGTTTTTCTAACTGCTTTCAAAATAGACTCTGGAAACAACAACTAAGGGCATTAAAACAAACAAAAAAAATTCATATGCTGTGCTGTGAGGTAAGAGCTTAATTTTTGCTATTCTCTGTTTCAGATATGCAATATGCCTTCTTATCACAAACAATACATTCTGATCCTGGTGTTTAGGATTCACACTGAGCAGCTTCTCTGTTGGTTTCCCTGATGTTATGTAGTGGCTGACAAAGCTGTTCAACAGACAAAGTGTTCATTAAGAAATTATGGTTGTCCTGTAAGCATCATCCCCTGCAACTTGATCTCGTCCTATAAACATCTTTTATGGAGGGCATTGGGACTATTCTTGCATAGATGCTTGCAGGATTGTAGTATACAATACTATTAATTAAACTTTTCTAATTCCTCAAACTTTTCTAATATGCTGAGATACTGGATTCAATGATCTAACAAAGTTGAACTTTGTTAGACAAAACAAAGTATCCTCAAACACAAAGCACAATGGGATATTTACTTCCATTATAATAATCTCTTGTTTGAAGACCACTGTGTTCCCCTCTGTTCACAAAAATAAGCTATATAAAGTTAAAAGAGTATACAAATAACTGTCTGATATACACATTAAAACCCACCTATTAAATCCAGAGCATTGCTATAGAAAATTCAGTGTTCTCAATATTACCTGGCTTCAGTGACAGTGGACTTCTTGCAATTACATTTAATACGCCTTTGGATGCAGTTAAATTCCTCCCTCATGATTAAAGAATGGGGGAAGTATTTTAAAATCCACAAAAGCAAAATAGAAAAACAATTTGAACAAATTAAGAGACTAGATATATGAAATTTCACTGAACCAGCCAGTGCTTCTACTTGCCTTTGCCCTCACAATTAGTTCTGAACCTGGCTCAGGCTTTCCACAGGAACAATGAAGTGCAGTGATACCTCCCTCCCCTTTCCCAGACATTTGTTCACTGGGTCAATACAGAGAACTGACATCTCACTCTAAGTTTAGTCATGTTGTGTTGCTCATTTAAGCATTACAAGGTCAGAAACATAACTTCTTTCTTAAATATCTGTGATACATTTACCTTGGGGTACTTTTAATCACGAAGTACAATTATCCTTTATTGACTTGTGAAATACAGCTTTCAGAGGGCCCTGATCTGCATTACTGATAGGTGCATAAAGTGATTCACTGTTGTAAACTTGAAAATCAATAAGGAATTAGCTTCAAGCATTTGTTCTTCCAAACATTACTGTCTTAGTTTATGTTAACTGCAATCAGAATGGTATAATAATGGACCTCTGCTGTAAAGAGACTTGCAGGTCGTGTTCTCATTGGCTATAAATTAATCCCAGTGCAACTGCAGATCTTGTGGATCTAGAAAGTCAGTGGAAAACACACTTGGGGCAGCAGAACTGAGAGGGGTGAGTCCAGATGAGGAGCTAGGCATTGTAATGTCCAGCCATTCCATATTGTCCAAATTTGTATCGGGAAGGTCAAGAGACAGACAAGAATTATTAGTAGTAAACTGTGGGTCAGCTGTTTCCATGGGTGAATGAGAGTTATCTAAAATGCTGGAGTGATTAAGCAGATCATTCTGGAGGTCTTCAATTAAAGAAAATGACTCTCTGTCCTCATTACTGCTTGTCAGTTGAGGAATTTCATTACCTGATGGTAAAGTTCCATCCAAGAGGGCTTCAAGTTGGTTTTCCAAACTTATAGACAAACTGGTCGTTGGTTCTAAGGACACAGGAGGAGGGGCCATTTGGATCTGCGGAGGTGGACGGGATATTACTGTGTTCACTGGCATTGTAGTGATGTTGGCTGTTACTGGTCTCATTTTAGATATGGGAGATGGTTCTTCTTTTATTGGAAGGGAAATCTCTGTAATAAAAAAACCCCACTGTTGAATTCAAACAGATAATGACATAATATCCTCAAACTTATAACTTCCAGCCCACTTTAGGATGCATCCACAGTGAATTAAGGGCAGTAACAGTCACTTTGCTGCTCCACTCATATTCACACACATCAGACTCTGGCACAGCCTCCATAAACAATAGAGTATTTTTCAAAAGTCCCAGAGTTCAGCTTTCAGTGATAGCTCAGCCAATTAGTATGAGTGTTGACGAAAAAAGGAACGTATCTCTAGATGTTACCTTAACCTCCTTCACATTTATAGTTCTTATTAACTGGAATAATTATGGAACCAGCACATTTCCTTGTCTAGAGAAGAGTACCCAAACCAATTTTCAGTTTCATCCCTGTTTAGTACTGTCCACATTGGTTAATTAAGAGTTCACGGGATGAAATTATATGATTAAGAAGCATTTATTCCCAATGGTAGAATCTTAAACTACACTTCTTTGTAAGACAGTGGAAGTAACAATAAGGGGAAATAAAGCGTAAGTTCCAATTTATTCTTATATGTGAATGAAGCCCAAAAACAAGACAGACAAATATGCAAATAAATCCTCTAGCACAAGTGATGTTCCTAGCAGAAAAAATATACCTGACAATGTATTTTGTGCTGGTTTTCCAAGCAAACCCCCACATCCTTCTAACTTTCCTGAAGTACATTAGTAAACAAAACATTTTTCAGTGCAGAGCTTACTTACATTAAGTGCAACAGCCCTGAATGCTTTACTTTGTTTTTTTTCATAAAGATGACATAATTTAGCTTGAGTTGTTGAGTACTCAAGTTACTTATTTCAGTCTACTCACATTTTCTGCAGGTGACCTTGTCATTTGCTTTGAAAAAGAAAAAAATACTCTAAAGTTTAGAAAATGGCTAAAGTCTTCCAGTAGCCTAGAACCCATCCCTCTGCCCTGGCATTCACTCCTGTCAAGATCCTTATATGACAGCAGTTACAAACCATTCCGTTAATTGAATCACTTGGCACCACAACATTTCCCAGTATTGTAACGGCTTCTTAGTCTACTAAGCCTAATCATGGCTGAAAGCCTCCTTCTTTTACTGCTGAGCTACTCTGTTTATTACTCTAGTTATATCACTGCCTTTCTGATAGCTCTCTTAACTGACATAAAGTTGTTATTCATTAATGTCTCCATGTAGTTCATGCACACTTTTCCCAGTAATGTATCTTTGATGTTTATAGTTAATAACACATGGTTATATTTAATGAAATTTTACTATCAACATGCTTTAACTCTCACCTTATTCTATTCTTTGTATAATTTCAATAAATACGTTATGGACTTGCCAAACATTTCTAATTTTGATAAAGTATGTCTGTGCTAACCTAAGGTGTTATTTTAATAATTTGAATGCTTTAGAGATTATTGTAAAGGTCTGCCTCAGCTAATTTACAAGCACTAAAGTTCCACAACAGGTTCACTGTATGTGTTTTGGTAAGTGTTTTCTTTAATAAGGAACTAAGCAAATTTTCAGAAATTTCAGAAATTTAGCTTTTTCAGGCTAGATAGATTCCAACTCCTGTTCGTAAAAGAATTCTCATATGATTACAGCAGCAAGTTTTCATTACCAGGTTTTAAATTTTTACACCACACAGCTGTCAATGAGCTTACCTCCACTCTTGATAAGAATATCAAAAAGATCATCCATCTGCTGACTGTGTGCACTGGGAATCTGTAGTGCAGGAGAACAGGGTTATTCTCTTTCATGTGGTATTTTTTCCTATGCTCATTGTTCCTAGTTCCTATCAACAATATGTAAGTACTAACCTATAATAAAGACTAAAATCCTTAATATGAAATTGTCTATCTAGAAAACAGATACTTTGGAGAAACATTTGCAATCTCTGTAGCTGGTTTCAGTACAAAGGAATAGAGAAAAAGCATGACAAAGCCTTCATGAAGGCAACCTAGGAGAGAGGTGCAGGAAGCTAGGGATCAGGAGAGTTACTGGCCCCATTTTGTACCAGGATAATAATAACTGCAGCACTTTGGGGTTGCAAACCCTGCTCTACCGTCTCTCAGAGATAGCCTGTGAATGTCCATCACGTAAGATACATTTCAATAGTGTCTTCGGGGCTTTTTCCCTATTTGTAGATTTATGTTCTTTTCTTTTTTTAAAGGAGGGGGTAAGCTTTTAGGAATTGCTCATCTTTGTTTTAAACAGCCATCCCCTAAATAACTGACCCTTAAGCTAAAGGTAAGAAAACCCCCCACAAACCCACTCATTCAAAAAGTCCAGAAAAAGTGGAGACTTTCATGAAGGTCTGAAGAAGTGTTTTAAACCATTGCTTATACTCCAAGGATGGGAAGTGATTTGTCATCAGGAGATCTAGTGGGGAACCCCTGGCTAACTGGTAGTGATAGAGTGACCTAAGACAACCCGTGTGCCCTCACTGTGGGGATGTCCCACACATGCCAAGGACACAAGAAAGGGCATTAGACACCCATAGGTGTGCTTGCCACCACAAAAACCGAGCCAACACAAGGCTACAAGGTTTTATCTTTTGGAATAGTTCTGAAATGCACGAAATTAGGAATACTCATTAGTTTTGTTTACAGATTTGCTCCAATACAAAGGAACTTTTACCCTTATCAAGGCTAAACACTACACAGGATTGTTCACCAAGATCACTCAGTACAGACTCTTTTCAAGCAAGCACCTAAGCTCATGTTTGCCTGTGTGTATAAACACATTCACATTATCCTCAACTTCACTCACTTTGGAAAATAGAAACATATTTCCTCTCTTAAGTATGAGGTTTGGGTATCCCATATTCTCAAAACAAGTTATTTGAAGGCTAGTTACTGTTAGTAGCAACAGCAGCATTATCCCAATTAGATGTATCACCAACTGGGAACTGTAAAACTTATTTACATATATGCTACTTTAATAAAAGAATAATGAAACAGGAGTCCACTGGTTAAACACAGTTATGAAACTAGTAACAGGGTATCTTAGAAAATCTTTACACCAAACAAAAAAAAAAAAAAATCAAAACCTAAAACAAGCAGTGGCTTTGGTAATTGTAGAGAAAAGTTTTGTTTAACAGACTAAAGAAGGTAAGTACCTCACGCTGTGATGGCTGAATATTGCGGGTCTGTTTTATGGCCTCTTCGTAACGAGGAGGATCTTTTGTCTTGGACACTGTGTTGTTGAAGAGGGGCTGCTGAACAATGTAAGGCTGGGCTTGAGATGGAGACCCAGGCTGCATGAAATGACAAAATAATGACTAAATAATGTGATTTAGTGAATTCAGGATATATCAAGTTCTACAGATTATTCTATTTTGTCACATCAATCTACATATTAGTGTAATCAGAGGGATAAAATACGTTTCTTTCTCCCTAACACATATGCATATATAAGCATTATTAAAATCTACAAAACATTCTTCTTTGAGTGAACTGCCGTATTAAGCAGTCACATGTTATATAAGAATAGTAATATAAACCTGAACTTTATGGAAGACTGATGGGATATTCTTACCTTGTTGGAAGCAGCAGGTCCATTCTGCACAGAAGGGACCTGATTACCACCAGGGTGAATGTTAGAGTTTGATGTTTTATTAATAAAAGATTGTGAAGGTGTTGAAACTGGTGCAGTCTGATAGGAAAATACTGCATTTGATGTGGCAGGTGGAAAAACCTGAAAAGGATTAACAGATAAGTCTCAGAATGTGGGTTTTTAGTTTAAAAAATAGGGTAATATTGGATAAATTACATTAATGCAATATAAGACTTTTTTTCTAAAATATTTGCTTGCTTAAATTCCCTATTAAGTGAATGTTATTTATACTGATTTTTCCTTTCAGTGGAATAATTTTTAAATTCAGAACAGTTAGTTTCTGAAAGAAACTTTGTGCTCTGACATACTTTCATTCATCACTCATTACTAACAACATTTTCCTGCAATTTTCCAGGAAGCATGAGTAAAGTGTATGGAACAGTTCAATAGCATATCCATGATTTCCCCATCTAGTGGACAGTCAATAACATGAGCTTATTTCTGACCTGATACAAACTGTACATATATCCACACGTGCCCTCTCTTGCTGGTTTTAAGACAGAATGGTTTGTCTGTGCCATATACGTCTAATTTTTTTTGTAAAGTACCTACAGGTATCTATGAGGATTGAGGGAGATGCAATTCCCAAGTCACAGCAGAACATGGGGTTCACGATGCACTTTTTTAAACTGAGATAAGAACTCCAAAGGCTGAGATATAACAATTATATAATATACTGTAAAAATGACCCTCTTCATCTTGGAATTAGAGTTGTTTCTGAATTACCTGTCCATAGGGGCAGGCTGAAAAACCTTGCTGTCCACTGATAAGGATGCAATAAAGGTCCAAAACTAATCTCCGTGTTCCTAATAACAGAGGTCAGTCTAGAAGAGGCTCAGAGGAGGAGAAAACCCTTCCTTTTGTGATGACTGGTGCTGATGGGTTGATATCAGTTCCCATATGAACATAACTGGATTGGCAGTCACAACTGTACATCCAGTGCTGAGGAACATGTTTTGGAACGGGACATTGCAGAGCTGACTGGTTTTGGTACAGAGGAAGAGAAGGATCTCTCTGAATCATACCCTACCATCCTTAGGAGGAGGTATGGTAGGGTTTTAACTCACTGGAATTACCATCCTCAACATCTTGAGTCCATCGCTTTCTTCATAAAGAGGGATGAAATCAACAAGTAAAGTCACAAAACCAGAATAAACTTCTATAAAAGAATAAATCTTTGAAGTCATAAGTAAAAGCTTTCTCTTAAGAACTGCCTATGAGAATCTCCCATTTAGAGCCAGTGGCAAATAAGAGAAACTGACTGGAATATACCTGGTACACACCACTTGTGCCAAGCGTAAGGAAGGATGTAGTAAGAGTCATGCCCTAAGTGTACCATTAAGATAAAAAGTCTTTTGACAATGTATTTATCTGCAACTGAAAAGTCCTGCACAGACTAAAATTTTGGGAAAAGGTGTTACAAGCCCATTGTATCACACAGAAGAACATGGTACAGATGTTAGGTGACTCGATCATTTGTATATAACACAGATGACACATAAAAGATTCTAAAAGCACTGCCTAGAACTAGATGATACAACTATTTATCTTACTGTTTATTGCTATCCACAAACCTTTCTGATTTGTTGGGTTTGACCAAGTGCGTGCTGCGTGATGGTATTTTGTTTTGATTGTGGAGCATGCATCTGAGGTGCTGTCTGCACCAGGCCAGAGGAAGAGATAGGAGCAGGTATTTGTGATGGGGTCTGTATTCCAGCTTGTGATTGAGCCTAAAGGATGAAGATAAAATATTTGCATTATTTGTATCTCACTGTAAGTTACATCATGTAAAAATCTATTACACACCTTATGCAGAATAGCAGTAACACATATTCTGAGAGGAAGGAGTGGGAACTGTACAGGAAATTAAACTGGTACTGGGTTTGGAACTGGGGAGTTCCTAGCTAAAAGGTGATGTTTATGTTGCCAACAGTTTAAGACAAAGACAAACTAGAGAGAGCCCATCAGAAATGCTAAAAATAACAGGGAACAGAGAGAGCAGAAATCAGTAAGAAAGGACTATGAGAACTAGCTTAAGTAGTCAGAAGACAAAACTGATGATGCAAGAAAAAGGTTGCTTTTAAGACCATGGTAATTTTTAATGGTCAGTGAAAAGGCAAGAAGTGTGTCCAACCTCATGAAAAACAATTTTAAGTGATAGTGGAAAACTTTCTGGAGTATAGGTGAAGTAAAATACCAGGACAAGCTGCTTAAGGTTGTTAGAGAATTCTAGTGGGATTTTAGAACAATTCAGTGGAGATCTGGGTGTATAGCTCCTAGGAACAGTTCTTACGCTGCAGACTGGGGCCCATCCTCACCAGAATTTTCCACCCCTCATAAAGGTTGCTGGATGTGCTGCTGCACAGGCTTGCAGCAAGCCTTGGCCCACAGCACGTACAACAGCCAGGGACACACTGCAGCTGGAAGAATACTTTGCTGCCATGATGGGTAGCAGGAGATGTTCCAACAATGCCACTGGGAAGTGCATTACTGCTTAATTCTACCTCAGACCAACAGGTTACACTGATTCAGCTCGGTCAGATTACTCCTATACCTCTGTATTTATAACCTGTCTTGGTTTATGCTGTATTTTTTCACTACCTATAATCAGCCTAGAAATAATATTTGCATAACCATGCTTTCTTTTTCTAAGTCCACAGGAGAGTTCTACACCCTAACATTCATATTTTTAAATATATCAAAGCACCACCACAAAAGGTAGTTCACATATGTTTTGCAAAAAGGGCTATCTCAAAATAAAGTACTGAGACTGTAGCTCTCTATTACAATTTGCAGTTAACAAACTGATCGTATATGCTACTTTAAATCAAATTGTGCATGGAGGCAGTACATGGTAAGGCAATTGCTTTTCAGGAAAAAGTACCTAGGAACAAAAGTTGCAGAGGAACAAGTATTAGAAGCAGGTATTACAAGATCAGCTCAAGCTTTTCTAGTGTTTCCCTTAAGCAGAAACAGGCTAAGCCTGATTTTTAAAGTAATCTTACAGGCAGCATATTTACCTATGTACACTAAGTTATGAAATACTGCCATGCAGGTTACATGATAAAAAAATGGAAACACCCTTACCTGCAACTTGATATTTCCGACTGGTAGCTGCACTGCAGTAGCAGTATTCGGTCCCTGGATAGACAGTGGGAGGAGCAGCTGTGCAGTTCCTTGGGTAGTTAATAAAGCTTGAGGCTGGGCAACAACTGCAGTTTGTGGCTGCCTCTGTGGACTAACATAAAACTGAGAAATGGCATTCTGAGGTTCAGCTTTGGCCACAGGTATCTCCTGCTTGATAACAACTGCCTTTTTGGCAACTGGATTCTGGCCAGCGGTGTACACTGACTGTCCTAAGGAATGGCTGGCTACGGGTACAGATTGACTTGTACTTGAGCAGTCAGCAGGAGCAGTTTCATCTTTGACAGCAGCACTGAACTGCTTCTGTTCCAAAGCAGCTGAGTTACCAAAAGTCTGAGACTGTTGCTGTTGTCCCCTTTTTTCAACCTCAAGTTGCATTTTCAATACTTCCACAAGTTTTTGCTCTTGTTCCAGTTTTCTTTTGAGCTCTTCAATCTGTTTTTCTTTTTCTTGAAGCTTGCGGTCCTTTTCTGCTACATCAAACTCCATGGTTGAGATGCTTCCACTGCTGCGATTCTGATTATCCTCATTTGTACTTGCTCTCAGTGGTGAAGTACTTAGGAACTGGGATGGTGACATCATGGTCATTTCTGGGAAGGTGTCTGCCATACTCGTATCATCTGTGCTTAGACTCGACTGTTCAGAGGGAGAGGGAGATATAGGCAGGGGAGAGCTGATGTTTTCAGTATTTACTGCTTTGCTGCCAGGTCCAGTAGATGTTTTTTCTGGTGGGAAGCTGGATATCGTATTAGCCACTGGTGTATTTACCGTTGCAACAGGAAATGCCACAGTCACTTCCCCAGTGTTACCTGTGGCCCCACTAGAAGTGGTCACTGTCACAGAGGTACTTGTAGCAACCCCATTGTTGTTAAGATCTTGATAGGTTTTCAGACGCTCAATAAGATCTGTTTTTGTTCCAGACACTGGTAATCCCCTCAGTTTCAATTCCATTTTAAGCTCTGCTACCTGAAATAAAATAAAATAAAACACTATAATAAAAAAGGAAAACATTAAAACTTACTGATGTGCATTCTTAATAATGAAAAGTATTTTCATTAGCATATTTTGTAGTTATTACACCCCTGGGTTCTGACAGCATGCATTATCTATGAACACGTTTCCATGACCTCCTACTTCAGTGTTTAAGTGGCCAAAATCTTAGCAATGTTCAGTCATACAGTGAATAGTAGCAAACTGGTGATGTTTTTTCATAAATTTTCAACATGGAAAAATGTACCTACAGCTCCAGTTCTGACCTAAAAACCTCTGCAGCAAACCAGCAGACAATGGCAGCAGTGGAGATAAAAGCAGTGAACAGCAGCACGCTGAGCCCCTTTGTTACACCATCAGGACAGACAGATCTGTTTCTGAGAAACTTTATCAGGTCAGCTGATGATTAAATAGACCCATCAAACACAAAAGGCTTTCTTGCTAATTAGCAACCAAACAGTGACCCTATGTGCCATCTCTGTTTCCTTTACAAAAGCAGTATAAGCAATCAAATTTACTTTCTGACAGAAAAACATTTCTCAGTTTTTTCCAGTAAGCTTACAGACAAAGTAAAGTGCAGATGTGTTGAGTGTAAATTGACTTCATGCTTCAAAATATCAGTTAAAGAAAAGGAGTCATAAAGAATGGCTTCTGTTTATCATAAACATGCACCACAGCTAACTGCAGAGTTGGGGTTCCCTGCATATTACAGCTACCTCTAATAGAACAAAAGTTAGTGACCTCAGTAGTATTTCAGTATCAGCCAGCCTAGAATTTATGTTGGAGGTATTTCTGATTTGGAAATGATGAAAAGTCACAGGAAGACATTTTACATCTCTAAAACCCACAGCAATTTTATAAATTGGCTAATAATAACTCCCTAGCCAATGACTATCAGCTGTTTCCCCCAGTCTGGTACCCTCGACACTTGAGAGTGTGTTCTAATTTTTCTCTTTTTCAACAATTCATTTCTGAACGCTTACTCAGAACTGATTTAGCTGATTCAGTGGTAAAACCACCACCAGCAGCAGGTCTGTAAGGAAGGCTTATGTGTTACCACATCAGCAGGAATACCAATAAATTGTGCAAAAATAGATATGTGAACAGCTTTAATCACTGCAAAGCACAATTTCAGGTATTAACTTAAATATCTTTACAAGTTTTTAGTTAAAAATTTAAAGACTGAAAAACTGATTTCAAAACCTGTTGTTTGAATTGCATTTTATAGACTTAATCCCTATTAGAAGATTGGCTTTAACTTAGGACAATATATTACTGTCTTGAGAATCCAATCTTCTGAAATGTCTTCTTCTTATCTCTTCAAATTTAAAAGAATCCTCCCTCCTACACCTTGGTAAAGGCAGAGAGAAAGGAATTAATTGCCCGCTAGATGTCCCTATGCTGCTGCTGAAGTTTGGCACATTACTACAGCTGCTGAATCCTAAACCCCCAAAAGCTGCTTCAGATTCGTCCCTCACAGTCTTTATTCCTTCTCATGTATTTCAGAAAGAAGAAGATCCTATGAAATGCCCTCATAGTGCAACCTGAACAGTCTACACAGTTAGTTAATTTCAAGAAACTTCGGAATTTAGGGTTCATTTTCAGACGTGTTGAACTCTGGTCAGAAGATCTTTTCTATTCTCTCTTTACAGTCTTATTTCTGTTTCTGTTTATAGCATTGACCTCTCAGAGTATGTTTTTATTAGGGCATCTTTTAATTTATATTGCTTAACTAAACCTCTTCACTGATACACTGAAATTGTCATGAGGAAATTACTGCTCACATGTTTATATCTGCCTGAGCTGAAACTTCACATGAAGTGAACCTCATAGATTACCCAAGATGTCATAGTGAGGGACCAATACAATGTGTCTAAAACTCCTCCTCTTCTAATTCTTTGGGAAAGAAATGTCAGTTCTGGAACATATGCATATGAGGAATCAAATATTTCAATCCAGGAGAGTTGTGTATGAAAACTTTGGCAATCTAACCAATAAGGAGGAAAGGACAATTTTCATTGGTACAAATTACCAGGCATCATCTTGACAACAACAGCTCACAAGTTATGAATCACAGTAATGCACAGGAATGGACAAATCCCTCTTATCTTTTACCTTCAAGTCATCCAAACTGGAAGGCAGAAGTCCTGGTTTCCTGCTAGGAACATTACTGTTCTGTCTTGGTGAATTGGCAGCTGATGTTGGTGTACTATTGTTCAAAGTATTCAGTGGTGAAGTCCCATTGTTGCTCTGTTTGTCATTCAGTGGCCTTCAAGTAATAGGAAAAAGACGGACAAGAATGTCAATGCTAAATATATTATGTTTTCTATCAAGAGGCTGTGATTCTTAATCTCATGTCTGTGAAGTTAGTGAAGCTAATGAACAAATTAACTTTTTTTACAAATCCATGCTTAACCTAACACATTACTGTTAAGTATTTTCAGTAAAACAAAACAGAAAAGATAACAGAAAGTAGTATGTTGCTGTTTTGCAGTTAAGCATACCATTTTATGCTTCACAGTTTTGATTATTGTCATGGTATCTCTGAAGAACACTATGGACTTCAAACTCCATTTACACAAATTAATCACGAGCCAGGGCAATTAGTTAGTTTTTTGTCTGGCATAAATAACCACTGAACTCTGTGGTTCAACCCTTCCATAGATGTCCTACTGTAAATGCAGGTGAACCCAATGGAAAGAAATGACGATGTCTGACTCAATTCAGGAGACTGAATTATTTCCTTATTATAACTATGTTAAATACATTAATATACTATATAAAAGGAGGATACTAAAACTACATATTACTTTCTCTGACTCTAACTCCCCACAACTCGTGACTCTCTCTCTTGAGAGTCCAGCCCCAGGTGGATTGGATTGGCCATCAGGCTCAAACAATCCTCACCAGAATCCAATCAAGCACTCACTCCAGGTAAACAATTCTTTAAACATATTCCACATAGGAAAAACAAGGAGCAGAAATAGAAATTGTTTTCTCTTTCATTTCTCTCTGTGCACCTCTATGAAAAATCCTGAGAGGGAGAGAAATGTGCTTGCCACAATGTCCAGTGTTCACACACATTATGGACTGACATAAAGCAGATCACTTTGAAGATTATGAATTTTTATCAGCTATACTCAAGAATTTCATATAAGGATTCTGAAGTAATTGTAAAAAATTAAAAATGACACCATTTACACTAGGTACCATAAGTCAGCTCTTTTATTTCGTTCAGCTGATTTATAAAGAAATGTTTCTGAAATGTCAGTAAATGGAACATAAGAAGTGTGGGCAAGCAGGCAGAAACATCGCCAGTCCAAATGTTAGGATACATGGTAATTATAAATACAACCACAGATGGTAGGTTTAACTTTTCTAGCCTCACTTGCTGAAGAAAAAGAACTCCGTGAAAATTCATTTTAAAAAAACAGCTGAAAGTCAATTTGAATTTAGGGTTGTGTGACTGTGGCATGTTACACTTTAAGGACTTCTAGGAAAGGACTGGTCTTAGATGATGAGAATGAAACGCTGCAGATAGTCAACTTCTTGTTTTGTTATGGGTTTCTGGAAATTCTTTAAACACTTTTTTTTTTGACCACTTCTACCTATAAATCGTGAGTGCACTTGTCACTGTTAGAAGTGCTAAAGATCAGTACTAATTAGGAACTCATATAAGCATTAGAGGTGAGTCTATAAACAACACACAGATCTTATCAAATTTAAAATTACTGTTATGTCTTATTTGTAAACTGCAAGAATATGGTTTGAGAATTTGACATAAAAAAATAAACCCACAGGAATAGTGCATGTCTTTGTTAAAGACATGGTCTGCAAGCTTCTCTCCTGCTTTACCTACCTATCTCACACTTGAGTGAAAATGGTATTAAATTTTTTTTGATTTTGCACAAGTGCTTTTGAGTTTCAAATATGCATTTGGTCAGAAAAAACACATCTGACAGGTAAGATGTTCTGTTTCAATTTCACATAAAAATAACTAGGACCACCTCAAGGCTTCTCAGATTTGAGGATTATTTTAACAAAAGAACAACCTCATCACCTTGTTAAATAAGACAAGTAATACCCACAGTGATGCATAATACCATTTAAAGCCTTCTTGGGTTCCAACTGTCTCTTTAATGTTTGCAAACCATGTTTACTTCTATAGCCCTAAGCCTATAACTGATGTATATGTTTTTTCTTAAAAGGACACAAACAATGCTTCACATACTTCAGCAGTGCAGGTAGAATTGTCTGGTAGTTGTAGTGTTGTTGCTGTTGGCTCAGGATCTGCAGCTGCAAAAACAGTTGCTGCTGTTGTAGCAGACGAGCATAGTTGGAGTCCATCTGTGGCTCATTTTTCTCACCTTTCTGATCAGGTGGAATATACTGATGATACTTCAATTTTTTCACCCTTGGCTTAGGTTCTTTACATTTCTTGCTCCGATGTTTATCATTTGGGTTCTTTGGGTGGCTTTGCTGTTTATGGATGGAAAAGATTGAAACAAAACCACATCAGATGTCACTTAAAGCACTTATGCATGGCTCAGATATGCAGCATATCAGAGCACTTTTACTGTAGAGAGCTGCTTAAAACAATTGCCCCTGAAAACATCCCCAAATGTACCATCCTTGGAAGGTTAAAATACTCTAGCTGGCTTATCCCTGCAGAAGTAGGGGTCATCAAATCACAGTGAATGTGTTTTTTTAAAGGTGGCACAGCTAAGGGATTCTACTAGTCATGACCTGTTAATTGCAACGAGGCATTCTTCTTAAGCAGGCAAGTTGAAAGCCACTTAGCAGTTTGTGGAAGTAAAAGCCAATATTCTAAATTCCATATATAAACATCAGAGGTACTTAGAGGTCTAGACTAAAAGCTTGGATAGACACTCCTATAAATCACAAGCAGCAATATCTTCATTAGCAATGATCAAGTGGTAAAACTCTCTTCCTTTACAAGCTCTTTGAAATTATTTTGAGGGAAAAATTGAAGGCAGTTACCTAATCATACAGAAGCTATCAAAGCAGAAATGCTGTGTTTATCCATGCCTGTTTACTACATAGATAGCCTCTTCTGGGACACATTTGAATTAAGGTCCTGTATTAAGTAAGCTGGTACATATCCAGTGATTGTAAAGGATATAGCCAAATGTATATGAGAAAATAACTGCCAGAGGTCATCCTTGTACATTTAACTGAATTAATTTCATGTAGGTAAGTAGAAGTCTACATACGTATATTCATTAACACAGCTGAAGACAGTGAAGTTACTGAAATGAAACACTATGGACATCTAAAAGAAATCTCTCTCTAACTTTATATGAAAGGGTTTTCAGTACTGCTGGCTATGTCAGTGCAGAAAAGAGAACTGAGTATGTTCTTCTCATATTCAACAAGTAACTTCTCCCTCACAATGCGTTCTAATTATACATTAAACCAACTAAGAAAATAGTTGTGGAGAAGGAGCAATGCTGTTCACCACTTTGGTTACAGGTAGACTGTGAATGCAGTGACTCTTTCTATTCAGCTCTCCTCCATACAAAACTAGATTAGAAGACATATAGAAACTTTGTATTGCAAAAACCTATTATCCTTCTTTCTTAAAAACTTCCATAGCAATGTAATGCACAATTCTGCCTGAAACCTTTTGTCAGCTGTTCTGTAAGGACTTCTTGGAATAATGAGCTGGTCTGTAGATTACTGGTTGACCTTAGCACACAAAAGCTTTGAGTCACCAGCCCAGTATGCTCCCCTGAACAGCAGCAGAAATTGTTCTTAGCTACAAGCACTGTAAGGTTACTTGTGTAGTTTTCCATTAAACGCTGCACAGTGTGTTTAGGACACAAATGAAGAATGTTGTCCTCCAGGGGCCACTGTTCCTGGTACCCACCTTCACTAATGTTGGCCCAGGCTTTGCTGCAGATACAGTGGTTGTGGTCAGGGTGGTTGCAGCAGTGGAACGAGTCACATGCTGTTCAATTGTAGAGGGAGTTTTGAGGAATTCAGGAACTGGAGAAGTTAAAGGTGGATACTAGTATTAAAAAAATATAAGGAAAAAGAGAAACATTAAAAACATAGACCACCTGAGTAACTGGAAAAAATGTGAAAAAGTTAAGACAATTTACTATCACATCAAATTTACAAAATATTTTTCAGAGGAATGGTGAAAAGAGAACTCCTGTGCATTTGTACAAGTATTCTATAAGGGCACATTTTGGCACACTTCAAACACAGCAAATAAAATGGTTTTTTACTCTGACTTCTTAGTTAGCTAAGAAAACACTACTTTATTACTATAAATTGAGGCCTTCAGTATTTTTTTTCTGTGGAGTCAGATTTTTGTGTATACAAGGAGAATCTTACCACCCAAACAAGTACTGTCAGAAAAGCATTGCTTTCATAAAGGTCAAACTTCAACACAGGCAAACAAACTTCTTGTTTCAGACTGATCAGGCAGCAGGACAGCAGGTGTATTTTCACCCTTCCTATGGTATTTTCACAGAACCTGTGAAATCTCTGTGCCAGGAGACGCATTTCTTCTGTATCTTATGCCAGCAGAAGTGTAAACACAAACCTTGGTCATCTTAAATTTGTCACACCAATTTTTATTGTGCTGAAATTGGTTTGTGATTTCAAATCTTAAAGAAACCTTATTATTTTCTTCTGTGGTGAATATCCCTCTGATGGGATATAGACTCTACATAAACAGATCTCAGTCCTTGTATTCCTAGATACACAAAAGAATATTTAATCTTTTCTCACAGATTTTTCATTCTCTGATTATCTTTACCTGCTACAGTTAACTGTGTTAACAGTTTTCATAAGCCTTTCTTGGATATACTGAAAATGTACAGGATATCCCATGTAGGGTCTCGCTGCATCCTTACAGTGACATCAGCACTTCTACTGGAATCATCTCTTCTGACAGGTTTGCAGTTTTACAGAGGATGTCCACAGCAGCTCCCTGACTCCACTGCTGAACGCTTCACCCCAGCTCCCTTCCTCCTCAGTTTTCTCTTGAGTCAAGAGTCCCCAGGTTTCCACATTTCTTTGTCATGGGAAAGAGGTGCATTGTGTATTTTTCTTTCCAAGACTATTCATTCTATCGGAATTGCATTTCTCTCCTAAAAGCCAAATCAACCAGTTCTTTCTGCATAATAACAATCCAACTGTGTGCTGACTATGCCTTCCTACTTTTGTTAGGTGACCCGTTCTTACGTCAAGGTTTAACGATAACATGAAACCAGAATGTCCCAGATCAACTCCCACAGAGCACTGGTACCAGCTTCCTTGCAGCCCAGGACTTTCCTCCTTCTGTCTCATTTCTGGTAATCTCCATCCTCATTTTCCTAGAGTTTAATATCATCCAGTAATAAATCCAGCTGGATTACATCAGTTGCACTTCCATTGTTTAAGAAAGCAATTAGATCACCTAGTACAATGCTCCTTTTATAAAAGCCCCTTCTTTATCATCCATCAGTAAACATCCTTTTTCTTTCAAATTAATTCCAAGACTTGCATTCTAATTAAGTCCGACAGGTACTTCTTTCTGTTTCATTTCTTCCTGTACCTTTCCTATATTTTTCTATGAGATTGTACCACAAAGGACTTAACTTGGTACACATTTTGCAACTCTCTGTACTGGTTCTTTTGTATTTCTGAGATAGCAGTTCCCAAGGTGCCAGTCTGCATGAACAAAGCTCTCCAACTTTTGCTTACAATTAATTTGTAATAAATTTCCATTTTATCTTCGTGTTTCATTTAGACATTCCGCTGTGTTCCCAACTATCAGCTGCCATAACCCAGCAAAACTGAACAGTGGGTTTGATCCCTCTGTCCTGTAGCCACACAGAGGAACAGCTCCTGATGACTGCTTTACTAAACAGCAGATTTACATGTCCTCCCTAGTCACTGAAACTGTGCACATGCCTGTCCTGGGCTCCTGTCAGTTTATGGTGGTAGGCTAAAGATAGAAATGTCTTTATTTTTTTATCCAAGTTTCAAAGTGTTTGTTCTGGAAAGCATCTGATATCTACACAGTGTCTGTTATTTGCTGGACTTGCACAACAGAAAAAAAGCACCACCAAAACCCCAAATTACCTCTTTTCACATTGTGTGAAACATTTTCCTCTTGCCAGAGAGTAGATTATTTTTCCTTACACTAATCATTATTCTAACCTATACACAAAGCTTTTTACAGACTTTCCAAATTTACCTGCAAGTGTTAGATGAGGCAATGAACCATGCACATAATTTATTTTTAAATTCAAAACCTTAGATTTAACAGGTCTTGACTTTTTCACTTGATTACTTTATAAACTAGTCGTTATTTAATCTGAACAGATCCTTATTTCCAAATAATATGATTCCTGCTAGATGACTTTTCTGCTAGATGTCAACAAGAATCTAGCAGGTCAACAGGCTACAGAGAATATATTAAGGAAACAGTCATTCTGTGCCATCAAGCAAAATTCTTCAGCTGTTTTGAAGATAACTGTTTAAAATCTTCTGAATTTTGACTATCCCTAATTTGATCTAATTTGATCTGTTTAGAGTATGACCAAAATGCCTAATCCTTACCAGATGCAAGTACACGGGGTTGAAGCAAGTTAGAGGTCATCAGTCAACAAGAGCTGAAGGTTCTCAAAATTATGTTACATCCTCTGATGTTTGGAAATGTGCGGAGGAGGAAGCCTTGAAAAGAACTCTGGCTGCACTCCGCTTTATTCAAAACTTTCTTTGTATTTTTTTTGTTGTAATAAAATTTAAAATTTATCAGAGGAAATCAAAAGAATAAAGGAGCCATTCCCAGACACGTCTCCTGTAGAGACTTGCTGTGCTATTATTCTTTAATTCAAAAGGAACAACAAGGTGAGCATCTGTTTTATTCTGGAGAAGAACAACTTCTCATTTTAGATGTGTGCACAGAAGTGGCTGTAATGTGATATGGAATCCATAAGCAAAGGCTTAAAGTTCTATCTGAAGTGCTTTTTCAATTCAAGTTCAAGTGCCTTACTTTTTGTTTCTGCAATCAGATCTCTCTTACACTTCCTACTTAGAAAGATTTTGGCACGTATTGCTTTGAGTATTTTTATTTAACTCTCCATTAGGAACCTAATTCCTTACTCAGGAATCTAATTTCATGTGGTTTGTTTTCAATTTATTCAACACAAATTCTGTTCTCTCAATGTGAAACCAAACTCACACGTTAATCTGTATGTTAGGGAACAGTGAAATAAAACGGATGTGCTGTACTTTGCGTCCAGCATTGTTTCTGTATATGAACTTTACAATACTTTTTCTATCTACTCTGGTAATAAGAAAACCAAGGAGAGTAATACCAGATCCTGAACCACTCAGCTGTCAAGTGTCCATGGTCATAAAGACAATACATTTTTTGGAGCATTAACAAGAGCTATGTCTTTTTACTTATTTAACAGTTGACTTTTACATTACTTTCTGCAGTAAGGAGCAAATCCACAGCTCTCTAAATCTTCACACATCTAAATGCTCTGCTGTAAAGATAACATTTTATCTGCCATGACACAGTTACTTTCCCTTCTCTGTAAATACCTTGAGAAAACACTAAAAACCTCAGAAAAATCAACGTAACTGTTATTTTGATTTCTTAAATAGCAAATCCCTTAGGCAGTATTTTAAAAACTATAGGAAAGAATATTTAAATTATGTGGGAAATCTTTTTTTTTTTTTTTTAAGATAATGGAACTGACATCAACTGCTGTTGCTTCAGCTAAGTTTAATTCTAAATGAGTTCAATATCTTGCCCAAAAGGAAGACAGACATTAAGTAATCAATAACAGCTGGAGTAAACTATGGCCATGACCTTTTAAATAACTTCTGGGAAAGCTGCAGATCTTCTGTGGGTCATAATGAATTTCAGGGAATTTATGGCTTCACTGCAGCCTATGGGAATTTCATCACTACCACCAGCTAGGATTGGTGGATCCTAGAATCCTGAAGCCAGGATTCTACTCTGAACACTCCCAAGCAGAGAGTCCCAGATACCCTTTGTAGAAGGAGATGTATTCATTCCATGTAAAACCGTGCCCCATTTCTACAGTGCCAGACCTAAAACCATACTGTGAAGATCTTAAAATTTAAAAACTGTACCTGTGATGATGTAGCAGCATTTGGGGTTATAGGTGAGGGTGAGTCACTTGTTTTTGGCTCACCAGGGGAAGCTGCTGAACCCTGGGATTCTTGGCTGGCTGGTTGATCTGGTGATAAAGCATCACTGCTGTCTTCATCAAATGAAAAATCATCCAAAGCTTGAGGGTAATTCTCTTGTCCAACTGCTAAAACGTTTACATAGACAGAAACAATGTTTTTTTTTTAATTGCACAAATTGAATTCAGACATTTATGGCAGAATCAGCTAATTGCTGGAAAATTATCCGTTTTCAGCAGTCTAAACATATGGTACCTAGGTATTTATTGTGTTTTTAATATGAGAGCCATATTAAATCACATTCAAGGAATCAATAAAACCAAGTGTGGAGCAGAAGTGGTTTTAGTAAGAGATTAAAAGGTACGTTCAACAGATGTGGAATGCATGCAGACACCTACGACAGGCTGAGGAATGGCTACAGATGTTTGATTACTTAGTAACGATTTTTATTTTAAAAAATATCTTTTCAAAGTTTCATGTAAAAATAGGATTACTTTATTTAAATGATAACAAAGTTTAGGTCTCAGAAGCGGAAAGAGTAAGTAGTAATAAACTTAGCATATGTTATCTTCTAGTGAACTTTACCCTCAAGAGTTAAATTATTTCTTTTCCACAATGCCATGTAGATCACAAACAGAAGCTGTGGGACTTTTACTTGCCTATAATGGCTTCTTTAACGCTGGAGTCTACAGGAAGAATATTTTTTTCTACCAGTTCCATAGGGCCAGGTCTCTGAGCAATCTTCTCATTCAGATCATCTGCCAACCGAGCTCTCTTCAGTTTCATCTGAGTGGCCTGTAGTGAAGGCTCTGCAAAGGTCTCTAAAAGGATATACTGATTTAAATATTCTGTTCCAGTTGTTTCCCAATTTCAAGACAAACAACTGTCTTGTCTCTGCAATAACCATTCCACTTATATCAAAAGCAGCCAGGTATAAGAGGTAACAGGGTAACAGTCACATTTGTTAAAGATTCTTTAGGGTCAGGGGAGAGCACAAGGCTGTCAGGTCATTTTAGGGCATGAGTAGAAACTGAAGCAATAGAAACACTCTGTGTAGAGACACCATACTGTAATTACCATTACAGATCAAGAGCAATATGCAATAGCAAACAAATACACTGGTGAGAATACCTTTACTGCCACAGATGTATCTGTTAATATACAGATTTAGAATACAGACTACCACAGACACTGCACAAGTAGAGAAATAGAGCAGATAAACCTTTAGAAATAATTCCTATCAAAATGTCATTCAGGGGAGCAACTGAGAGCACAGCAGGTCCCTGCTGTGAGCAGCTCCCAGCAGAGCAGCACATACCTTCCAGGATGTGCATTCTGACCAGCTCCGAGCGGTCCGGCCTGCTCCGGATCTTGTGCTTCAAGAAATTTTCAGTCTTAAAAGAAAGGAGGAAACAACATTAGCTACTGTTCACTTAAAAACTCAAAGCAGTTTGACAAATCGCCCACGTCCAATTAATGAATAGTTGCAGTTTCTCATTCAGATGGGTGGGTAGCCCTGTCAGAACACAGGCAGTAGAGGGGTTCCTCTTGCTTTGTTCTGTTTTCCTAGCAGTAAAGCAGGGCTGATGGATTTCCAGCTTCCCCAAACAAGACGGGAATGTTTCTGGATTTGATCCTACACCACCACATAATCACAATAGTATAGATTTGCCATAGAAAAACTGCACAAGCATAATTTCCCCAAATAATTAATCCTTAACTTGGAGGTACCTACGAGTTGACCCCCCATAAGTTTAGTCCCCCATACTGATCGGTGAAGGCTCAGACAAGTTCCTCTCAGATTTGACACATGTATTTTATTTTAATGAATTCTTCCAAAATAAAAGCAGATATTATTACTGTAACAGTAAGAATTTTTCCATGTACTCAAAGAATTTAGTATCACAAAAAACTGACTCTCCATTTCCAAATGTTAATCACAAATTTACACAAAGTGATTTACCCTGGCTCGCTCCAGGCTCTTTATCTGCTCATGGAATGCAGCTGGACTTTTCAAAGCTGTGAAAGGAGAGTAAGAGTTAAAGAGACAGGAAGTAATTTTCAAAAGAAATATGCTAACCAGAATGAGTGTATGGGTGTTTAACACCACCTCAGAGTTGTGCTTGCATCTGACCAGGATTACATTTGATTCGTGCTAGTTATATTCATTCTATATTTAGCAGAGATGAGCAATACTCCTATATAGAATACCTGGAATATTTGATTTTAACCGATTATTACCATGTAATGGTTAACTTTTTTGCTATGTACAAAGGTGTTTATTTACTTATTAAAACTATCCCACGGTGGAAATTTTGTGAGGTAAGGTTTAGAATGCCAAAATGCCAATTTAATTTAATTTATTCCACTGAATTTTCTGAACATCCATACCTCATACTTGCTGTTATTAGAGAGAACTGGACCTTCCCTTAAGAACTATGTGTTGATTTAAAAACAAAATAGAAAAATATAGAGGCCTTAAATGTTCATCTTAGAAAACAGAATGATGGTTAGCTTCTAAACAACCAAAAAGCATAAAAAAACCCACTGTTCACCTAGCAACAACATAAACTGTAGAGTGCTTCAATTTAGTGCTGTCCACTTAGAGATTCTCCATGTTTTCTATGCAACCCTCATTTGTTTGGCAACCTTTGTCATTCTACTCTTTAAAAACTGCTGGTTTTGTTATTAATGTCTACTCATTTAAGTAATTCAGTTAATTTATTAAATTAGTCATAATTATGTAAACAGAGAAAATAAAACCAGAATCAGCCTATGTCTACTAATCCTTGCATTTTCATCACAATGGCTATTTTAATTGAAACATGATGTAAGCACGATGAATTTGCTACACGCTCACTTAGGTTATCAAAACGATCCCACAAGTCTTTTCAAATGCTAAAGTTATTTTTAATGATCTCCCAGAAATGCTTATCTTCATTATTTTATGCATTCAATTCATAATTAACACAGCAGAAACACAAATTACTAGATGTAAGTCTTACGTGGCATGATGCCCTGGTCCACCAGCTGTTCTCGTGTCCGTCTCTGTTGCAGCCTCAGCTGAAGTACTGCCAAAAGAAAACATGGATTCCTGTGTGAGCATGGTCTCCTCATAAAGTGCAAAACCCCCATTCCCATGATGCCAAGTACTGCAAGCTTAGAAATACTTTTTGCTGTGTATTCAGACTTGACAGTAACCCCCCAAGAGCCATCCTAGGAACAGCTGCTGTTAACAGAGTTCCCAGGGATTACTTCCATCCCTACTTTCATTGGAGTTTGCTGCTTCTCAATCTCATCTGATGCCAGGACTGTATTTCCCACATGCATCCACTTTTCCTATCAACCAGGACTCATGAGCTTACATCAAGAAAACTGTGAGGTAAAAAGAGCTTAAACCATAAACTGGATCCCATAATGATTACCTTGCTGCGTGTCCTAAGCCAATCTTACATGACTTCACTGTGCTGAAATAGAAATGAACTGTGCAGAGCATTTTAGAAGAAAAGCTCTGTGTGTGTCTCATTGATTATATTAAAAAAAAGAACCTTAAGAAGAAACAAAGACTGGTTGAACATTTAAATAAACCTTGCCGAAACACAAGAAACTGAAGAGAAGTGGGATTTTATCTGCCTTACTTAAAAACAAAAAGAAAGTGTTATAATCAGGAACACACCTTATTCTCTCTCTGAACATCAGAAAATGTTGTTTTTTTCATTGAGATGTGTGTTATCGTAATTATTTAAAGGACAGAATAAATCCAATACTGTCAAATGTGGAAAAACAGTTTATAAAGCTTCAGAGGTAACTTCTTAATGTTTCATTGCATTTAATGAAATGTTTCTCACACATTCCTGTGTGTCAACCAATGTGACATATATTAAATACTACACGAAAAACCACAAAACCTGGGGGAAGAGGTAGACATGCAAGTTTTATACTTTTAAGGATTATGGGGTTTTTTGTTGCCAAGGAGAAAAACTAGGGAAAAAAAATTTGTTTCCTTCTTCTAGTCCTCCCTTCCTCTTGTTTCTATATCAATTTATCATAGTACTTCATTATCTCTTTGACACATATAGCTACTACCCCAAAGTGAAATTTCATCTTCTGAACAAGGGACAGTCAAGAGACAAAATATATTAAAGATGTAATATTTACCTGCTGAAATTCAGAGTTGAGAGCTTATTATGGTGTATGATTATTGTATGCTGTTCCTATTGTATTTCAAAGGGAAGCAAAACAAGCTAATGCATTGTCCAAAACATCAAAATGAATGTAATTTCTAAAAAATTAAGCTAAGGACAAAGTTCATTGTTTCCAGAATTTAAAAGGAACCAGCTTATTTCCTGTTCTGCAGTACAGGAAGGATATTCCTCTGGCTAAAGCATTAAGACCGGGAATAGCAAGTCCTGAAAACAAGGACGTTATTTTCTTGTATCACACAAACATTGGGAGTTCAAATACAAACATTTCAGGGCTGTGGCACAGCAGATCTGTTCAGACTTTACAATATTGTGACACAAGAATCACAAAGGACAGAGATGTGAGAATGCAAAAGAATAACATTAAAATGTAAATTGGTGAAAAGTCATTCAAAAAGTATTGAGTTCCTCTGGAAACTTGAAAATACCTGCTTTAAGCAGGGCATTGTATTTTCCAAGTAATATTAACTGTGAGAAATTAACAAAATAATAACTTTATAATAGTTTGGTTTTGTATTCCTTAATTTCCTGTGGCTTCAGATAAGCCATGACGGCGTCTTAAGGTATCTCTCACCAGTAGCTGCACATTTGTACTGCCTGGAATCCTGCACCAGTTTTACTAGACAAGTGTGCATTAAAAAAAAAATCATTTCAATGGAAATGCATTTCAAAGCATACAGTACACTGTTGTCATGTTAAGCCTCAGCCCTGGTGTACATCACAAGCCCAAAGCACGGAGAAACTCACTGACTTCAACACTGTTTACAGAAAAGCAAAAGAACTCTGGTATGTTCTTGGCTTGGGGTTCCTTGCTTACAATTACTAAGGTAGGAAAGCTTAGAGTCAGCCTGAAAACTGTATGTGCAATCCTTTTAAAAAATCTTAAATAAGTTCTAACCATCCAAATGATGTGAAAGACAATTTATAAGCAGGATGGCAAGGCTATCATATTCCAGTGGTTTTAGTCCTGAGTAGATGAAAACTTCTGATTCTTCAGTCCTTTGCTTAAACTGTGCTTTATTTTACATCACTAGGAGACTGTGACAAGGCTAGAAAATCATGTCCTGGTCTGGGCAGGAATCTCATTCATGACACACTTAAATCTGGCTTTCTTGGAACACTAAGCAAATGACAGATGTGCCTACCAAATCTTTACCTAGTTACAAGTCAATTTTAAACATATGCCTCTTTATTTCTGGCCCAAGGTCTTCAAGCAAAATAATCTGCTCCAACATCACTGATGTCCACAGTAGAGCTGATGTATGTCAGACAAAGTAAATAAACCAGAATTAGTATTTCTTTTTCAGTTCCATTACCTGAAACACAGTGGGTCAACAAGTGAATGCTGGCAGTATCACAGCAGGTACAGGAATATTAGTACTGCTATGACTCATATACCAACATATCATAGGCAGGTAATCTATTAAGAAATAATGCATTTATGTGATATTCCAGATTTCTAATATGTATTTTATTCAGACTTTTTCACTAAGCTTGCTCATAAATCCCATTCTGTTGGTGGAGCTGGTTCAGCTATAACTACCTTAGCACTGCTAGGGATGTGCTTTCAGTATTAGTAATCACGGGAAAAAACATTATTTTTGAATATATTATACTGAACATTATTTCTAAGTATAAATGATGGGAAGCCCTGCTGTGCAGTTTAGGAATGTATCTATGATTTGTGGCTTCAGTTATTGTCATATATTTGGCTTGAGCTTTACAGAAAGACTAAAACCTGAGCCATATCCTAAACAACATACAGTGTAAAAAGAGAATATGCAGTGGGACTAGAGCAAAAGGGCAAGAAGAACAGTAAGAACCTACCTGCACATAAGCCTTATGTGCTCATGTTAGAAGCTTTAGCATTTTTAAGAAAAACATGTAACAAACTTTCTTGTCTCTCATAACATTACTTGTTTGCCCATCATCTGTTCATCTACACTGGGCATTACAAAGCAATAAGGGAAGATTTTAAAGTTGTCCCATCTGTATCTGGACATGTCATAAAAACAGTGAGAAAATCAGAAATACAGAAGATATAGAACATGTAGTTATTCACTTACTAGATAAATATCATGAACTTATATCTTACATAATAAGGAAAGGACAGCCTGTAGCGTGACTAATAGGAAAGCACTGCAGGGGAATGCTAAAGAAGAGATGACTCATGGTTAGGAAGATGATATAAGATAATAACTGAAGATTTTGACTTGACCAGAGCAAGGAGGTTAAACAGAAACCAAGCTGGATGAAAACGAGATATTTGCTTTTGCAATCAACTCCAAAACTAACGTTGAAACAGTGTTTCATATCTACACTTTTTAAAAATATAAATATTGAGCAGTCAAATTAATTATTAAAGAATAGAAAATTTTCAAATGGAAAGCAAGCTTGAATAAAACCCCTAAATATATTATTTTTCAAAGCTGGAAAGCTGAAAAGGTTTTGCTATTCCAAAGCAAATCCATCAGAAAAAAAGCCAATATTGATATCTCTATAAAAGAGATATAAGGATCTAGAGGATCTAAAATACTTTTAGCCCCTACAGTGACATGACGTAAAAAGCAGAGGTTTATAAGGGAGAAACAGAAAACACCTGTCTGTGAGCTGCAACTTTCCATAGTCAGAGCACACCTGGGTTACGGGTCAGGGTGTCAGAGCAGGTGGTCACACCCCAGTCAGGAGTGACCCTTCATTGTCTCTGGACTTACAGACAGAGGTGTCTCTTTGTACTGGAGGGGAACCTGAAGTGGGTGTGAAGGAAGGGAACAGGAGTGAGGTCTGTGAAAAGCTCAGAAGGAAATGGGGACTCACAAGAAGCAGCTCAAAGAACAGCCAGCCCGACAGGAGGATGGGAGTCATGGAAACTGAATCACACGTTTTCAATAAGGAAAATATAATGAAATTATCTTCAGAGACAAGGATGAGCCATATGAGAATTCCACTTATGACAAAGAATTGCTCATTTATTTCTGTGAGAAACTATCTAGAACAGAACGCAGGTTGGCTTAAATCTGATGTAAGTAAAGCTAATACAGACTTTACTTATCATATATATGGAAATCCATAGAGCAAGAGATTTCTAGAACAGTCTGTAACACATGAAGTGATAAATCTAGCAAACCTGGATAAGAGGACACAGCCTAAAAAAAAAAACCCACAAAAAAAAAAAAAAAAACCACAAAAAGAATTTTGTGTTTTACAGATGGTTCTTATCAGAGTAAATCCAGCTTGTTGCCTGACAGTTCACCTTTCACTTTTACACTTTTAAAATCAGGCAGTTACCTACATAACATCTAAAATCATAAGTGATCTCCAAAATGAAGGCACAAAATTAATAAATATTTATATATGCCGATAAACAATTAATGTTGTTAATACTGTTCCTCCTATTTAAAATACAAGAAGGGCAATGTTAACACCACTGAGTAAATGCAGTTGGTAAAAGTACAAATATTTTGCACTTCACATTATCTGGCAGGAATCCTCCTTCACACCACTGCAAATCTAAAAATTGTCTGTGAACTGCTTCTGACAAAACGCCATGCACAGAGAGGTCAGTCCAATTCCTGCTTTGACTGAGAGAGAAGGAAGGATATTCTTTTTTGTTTTCAACCAAGCATACGATTTTAACACTTGAACACCAGGTGGAGAGATTCCAAAATTTCCATGTGTTTTCTTAAGTCAATAACATGATCATTAAAGCTTGGAGAGCTTATTTAATACTTACTGACAAAACAAAAAAGCATAATCCCTCCTCACAGTAAGAACATCTGGTTATCTGACTCTCAGAGTCAGCAGAAGTCTTGTGACTGCACTGGAGGTAGAGTCTTTAGCCAGCACAAAAGCCGAGTGCCAGAAGCTGG